AACGGACGGTCTTCATGAGTTCTTGCGTGTTTCTTTGATGTGATACCGCGCCTCCCCTATCATTTTGGCATTATACCTCTTCTGGTTTTTTTTTTGAGTAATACTCGGTGTGTTTAGTATAGAGCTACACTTTTGCTGCCTTACCATTTAGTCTTCTTCCTGACTGTTACACGTCACTATCCGACAAGGCAGAGATGTAACAGTTAGTACCTCTGTAATGAATGTTAGTTCGCATATCGCATGGGGGGGGGCTGGGAGGGTTCGTGAAAAAAAAACATGGGACGGGTTTAAGGGTATAGCTATAGGCAATGTATTGGCATCTGCCAATATTGCAGTTGACCATCCAGGTTTTTTTAGGGCCAAATGAATGTCCGACCAGAGGTGTTTTCCAGCTTTTGGTCAGTTATTTTTTTTGTCATTTCATTTCTTCAATCCAGCGTACTGCTGGCGGTCTAAAGGTGCATGGTCTACCTCATTGGTGCATGTTTGGTCTGCTACTAAAACCATCATCCTAACCGCTGATGGTAAGCCAAATATTCTCAAAATACAGTTTTGGAGATTGTGATTTGAACTGGGATTACATCGGATCCTTTTTGCACTACAGTTTGAATACAGAATTGCCACTGGCTGCAATATTACGTTCTTAAAGAGTAACTTAGCACCTGCTGAAAATCTGGTTTTTCACTCGCTTCCAGTGGTTTGACTTCTGACCTTGCTGTGAAGGTACAAGACGCTGGTGGTCGGATGTCCGCTGTGTTGCACTTGTAACCTCAACCAAGACGGTCGAAACCCTCAAGTGGTTTCACACTACAGACTACCTTCAGAGGGTAGAAGGAGCCGTACTAAACTTTATTTGCATAGTGAAACAATCTGGGGGTGCGGTGGTGGAAAGAAGTTAGTCATAGATTTCTATATGATTGGAGGATGACTGTTTCAACTGGCCCACCTTGCAAGTTTCTTCATTAGTTGAGTCAGAATGTCAGATTTTAGGTTTACAGAAAGCTACAGGAAGTGTTGGACATGCGCCTTTCTTGTGCTGCAAATGACTTGGGGGGAAGTCGTGGTGTGGTCTGTTGTACTAGGCCGTGTGATATTGCTCCACAGTTACTCAGGGTGTAGAACAATGTGGTTGGCAGGGCAATCAAGATTTAAAGTCTCACCCAGAGAGGGCAGCAGAACACTGCTTTTCAGCTCGATGCTAAGTTACTCTTTAGGTTCGACGCATTATCAACTTTACCTCTGCAGTATATTCTCATTCTATGAGCTGCTGTGTGAAAGACTGCTGTTTTACAATTACCTCAACTTGGATTTGAATTTTTGCCAATGGGATACCAACCCTAACACATGTGCAACATCATTAAAGATACCTGACCGGGACCAAGTTGCTAAGGGATCCAGCTAGCTCTCCTTTTTGATACTTGAATACAACGAGGCAGAATCAGACATGATGTTGCCAGTGAGAAGGCTGGTGTTTTTGTTTAGTCAATGTGATCAATTTTTAGGTAGTTATTTATGACATTACCTCCATATAACCCTTAGTAGGGTAATAGTTCAGGAACACCAAGCCTGCACGGAGGAGCATGTAGGACTAGCTAGCTAATCAGCATTTTACTCCCGTTTTACAGGAGACGCTGACTGTGACTTTACACCCAATTAATATATATGTAAAATTATTCTAAAGCCTTTTTTTAAAAATAAAAATATCATACTACTTATTTATTTTCATCCAAGAGTGCTGCAGCTTCTCCTCCTGCTCCTGTTGAAGCCTCTCAGCAAGTAATGATCTAGTAGACATCAGAAAACTGCCAAATGTCATTCAAAACTACATATGACTTGAGAATATATTTGGGTAACAGATTTTTTTAACACCAAGGTACTACTTTGTACATATGTGCTTGATAAATCACTGTCATTGTCCTTAATAATATAATATGAATACAATGGAACAGTAATATATTGCACCATAAGAGTAACAATATACAGTACATACTGTACAGGTATAATGAGGACTGACGGAAAACTGTGAGGGTTTTTTTTTTTTATTATTATTTTCTTTGCCTTGTATGATTTTTTTTTCTTTTTTTTTTTTACTTTAGTGCACAATGAGCCTTTCAGAAGAGAAGCCCATTGGTATACCTATCTATGCCAAAACCAATGCAATGTAACTCTGCACTAATCATGTGTAAGATGCATTTTTTATTTTTTTGTATTATTCAGTTTAATCACTTTTAAATATGTTGCATATTTTAGATTAGAATTATTTTGATTTTCAAAAACCATATACAGTCAGTTGCTGGTTGGGGGAAAAAAGGAAAGAAAAAAAAAAAAAACACCTCTACTCTTAGGCTCATCTCAGGAATGACCAATCTGAAAACTCAGGGAATGCTTCAGATTGATTGGAAGGAGTCAAGACGTGTTTATTCAAGACAAAGCAGGGATTACATGCTCATTACGTGAAGCATACAACGAGCAAGCCGCAGCAAATTGGGCTTGGAAATGTCTTGATGCAACAGCTTCTATTTTTACAACAAAGGAAAGTACAAAGATTTTGCTCAAAGAAGAAAAAACGATGTTCAGCGATTAATGCTGAGATCTACGAGCTTTTTGACTCTTTGTCAACTTCTTGTCAGACACCCAGTGTGACGGTGTTCTTAATATTTTGTCTTTTTCGGCATAACTCGCCATGATATATGATATGAAGAAAATGTTTTACTATTATTGATTTTTTTTCCTCTATAATCGTTGTAGATGGGGATGTAGTAGAATATTGTAAAGGGACTGGGGCTAGTAGTATATAATCCGGGGTTGTCTCATCTCAACACAATTATGGTTCAGACTATCAATGCTTATGACAAAGAGAATGTGTCATGGATGACTTAACACTCAAATGTTACTCCATATCCTTCGGTTAATTGACATTTAAAAAGAGTTTTAAAAGTTTATAGAGTGCAGAATCAAACATTATTTTGATAATTCCATTCCACAACATAGGTAAGTGATGTGATTAGATGAAACAGTTTACATTTCTTGGTATTTTTTTTTATTTTGAATTTACCACTTAAAATCGCTGTGCCAGTAGATCCTCGAACTTGAACGTTGATTTTTATTTTTATTTTTCTTCAAAAGGGACACATACGGATGACTTTTGCTCAGTAATTTTAGTGATGTTAAGTTTGTTTGTTTTTTTAATGACAGAAAACCACTGATTGCCTCATCTGTCAAACTATCTAGTTTTCAGCAATTCAGACACCCACTCTTTAGATAAAGGGTGCGTTTAAGGCTTGTAATATTTGCAATATTCTGCAGTGCTGTTTTCCAAACACTATTTGGAAACTAAGGATGTTTATGCCAGACATTCTGATTGTAACGAACCTGTTTGACCCCTCAATGGTGTGTGACTTTTGATTTTTATTGTTGGGTGTTAGATAGGTTAGAGATTCCTTTTTAAAATCCAAGGACTTGGATAAACCATGTGCTCAGGGTAACATTTGAAGCTCATCCTGTTCTGCAGTTTTCTATGTGCTTATCATGGTACATCTTGTTCGTGACCATCAGCCATTCAATTTGCGATGGTGTATTTTTTTATCAGGTAAACGGCTCGAGCCACTTCCCACAATGTGCATTTATAACTGATGAATGTATCAATGTTTACTGCCACAAAACTACAACTGTCTTGATCTCAGGCGATTTAAACGGCTAGTTTGTCAACGATGAGCAGCATGTAGGATTTTTCAAAGTATTACTGTGATTATGTTTCTATATGTAAAGATCTGCTCCATTTCCTAATAAATATGTCAATACCCACGTTCTCTTCATGTCCTCTTACTCTTACAGCAGAGATTGTTTTCACTTTAGTTACACGATCTGTCTGATGTTGATTGGAATTTGATAAACAATCGTGGAGGAAATATTAATTAGCAAAAAGCAAATACAATTCTACAATTTCGTTTAGCAGATGCCTTTATCCAACACGACGTACATCTGAGAGCAGATACAACACAAGCAAGGATCCCGTCAGGAGAAAACAATCTAGATAAGTGCCATAGAACAAATTCAAGTGTGACAGGGCGTTGATGCCAACAGCAGGCTGTGTGGGAGGTAATAGGATTTATATATATATATTTTTTCCAAATACTTGCATTTAAGACATTGCTTGGCTTAAAGCGCACTGTACCACTCCCTTACAATCCTTCCTGTTGAGGAGTATTAAACTGTAAGCATGTATGAATAGATATACCTACAGTCATTGTCAGATTCATACCCTCCCATTAAAGAAGACAAAAAAATCACCTGTCACTGAAATAAGTTGAAATTGAAAAAAGTAATAATAAATAAAAATTTAATGGAAATCATGACCTTGCTTTTGAATTGGGTTTCAACAGAAACATGAAAAAAAAGAACAAAAAAAAACAAAACAAGCATGATGGGACCCGTGAACTAAAATTTTGTTGAACAACCCTTTGAGGCAATTGAGTGTTTTCTATAACTCTCAGTCAGACTTCTGCGCCTGTTGACAGGTATTTGGATTTCACTGCTCATCAGCAAAGTGCTCTAATTTGTCTGGGACAATTTTTTAAAAAATTATTCTTTTCACCCACAATTCAAAAACAATGTCTTATTTCACTACAATATAATTTAGCACATTTTTATTTATTATTACTTTTTTCAGTTTCTAGTCATTTGATTGACGATTGTGCATTTTGCCTGTTCTTTACTAGAAGGGTATGAATGCATTAGATACAGACAGTAAGACTACATGAGTAAATGTTATCTTTCACTACTGCAATCTAATTTAATTCTACCGAAAAAGCACCTGATAAGATCACCGTTCCTCACTACATTGCTTTACAAGAAGTGAAATAGAGAAATAAATTCATTAATTTAAAAAAAAAACAAAGAAACAATTCCTCCTTCCTTTTCCGCCAGAAAAATGACGCGGTGGTTCCGGCAGCGTCATGACGCATTGATCCACTAGGGGCGCTGTTCTCTGTTTATAATGACCTCAAATCCAATATGGCCGCCGTGTGACGGCTTCTAGCTTACCTCACGCGTCAAATTAGAAATATTATTAATTTGTCGTGTCGTTTTTATGCCCTAAAGTGAATTCGCGGATAGCTATGTGGTTGCCACTTCACACAGTGTGTCTCAGAAGCCGGACAGGCTGCAGGAGGAGCTTCGTCGCTGCTCTGTTGAAGTGTTCACGGCGCAGAGATGCTAACATTTCCCACTTCAGTCATTCAGCTGGACGCTCTGCAGCAGCATGCAAGGCACTACTGTACAGAAACCACGGAGACCCTTCACGAGTCGTCCAGTAAGAATGCTTGTCTTCATTAAAGTACAGAAGTGTTTTCAGTTTCTGTAACCACGAGATAGCGAAAGCTAATGTGTGGCTAACCCCCCTTCAGGGAGTTTCGGTGGAAACCTCAAGACTTTTCTCTTGAAAACACTTGTTATAAGGAAGAAGTCTCACCAAATAGTTGCTTGTTCAAGTAGTTTTCCTAACATGTTGTCTTCAAATTAGTGTGGTTCACCAAACGGTAACCGCCCCCCAAACTACAACTTCTTCTTCTTCTTCTTCTTCTTCTTCTTCTTCTTCTTCTTCTTCTTCTTCTTCTCTTATCTCTGTGGCCACTTGCTGTTTTTGTAATTAGATGATAACTTCCATTGTGAACAAATATTCACCAGAAAAAGATTCCAAGATCATACAATCTCTTGCAAAAGTTTTGTTTTCTTTCTGTGTAATACTCGCTACCTTCAGGACTGTTACACTCTGCAAGCACTGATATAACCTCCAGTACCTGAATCTATTTGTCACAACAGGTAGGCTGCCTAAACAAACAAATGGCTTTTTTTTTAACCTGCTGATTAAGATAAAAAATTAGTGCCTTCTTCAGGTCTACCTTCCCTATAATTTGTTTCCATTCACTTTCTTGTCCCTCCTTGATTTTCACTCCCTCTATTCCCAATGATACCTTAAAATCTCTGTCTTTGTTGCTGATTTTATTATTTATTTCTTTCAACCCCTGCCCCCTTTAAACCCATCAGTATAGCTGCTGACTCCAAATACCTGAGGGCCAACAATGAGCCCATACTGCACTCAAAAACAAACATTTAAAGGCAGTAAACATCCATCCATCCATTATCTATACACCGCTTAACCCTCTCTAGGGTCGCGGTGGGCTGGAGTCTATCCCAGCTGACTTAGGACGAAGGCAGGGCCACACTTAGAGACAGACAACCAAGCACACTCACATTCACACCTACGGACAATTTAGAACCACCAATTAACCTCAACATGTTTTTGGACTGTGTGGGAGGAAGCTGGAGAACCCGGGACTGATGTTCTGACTGTCAGAACTGATGAAGCCTCTTAGATGAGAGGTGAAACGTTTTCAAGAAACTCAAGCAAGTCCAGTTGCTACGATTAAACTACGAGAATAACCTGGATGACTGAGAATCTTCACAGACATAAATCAAAATGCAGTCTCCAAAAGAAATACAGTTTGGCATTTGCACGTTTGCACGAATAATGACTTAATGCACCAAACTATGTGATGGTTTCTTTTTTATGTGCTTATCAGGTTAGAGGATGCAGATGTGCCTCCCGTTGGTGCTAAAGATGTCCTAGTTAAAGTGCTGGCAGCCCCAATAAACCCGTCTGATATTAACATGATTCAAGGTATGGAGTTTGTTGGGTTTCCTCCACACCAGACAGCAGCATTCAGATAGTGCCCTAATTGTAAGAAACTGTGTCAACCAACAGTCATTTATTTTTTTAGAAAGTCTGATGATCATATGGTGGTGTGTGTTTTTTAGGTACTTATGCCATCCTGCCTGATCTTCCAGCTGTGGGTGGTAATGAGGGTGTGGCCCAGGTGATAGAGGTGGGCAGCCAGGTGAAGTCCCTCAAAGCTGGGGACTGGGTCATCCCAAGAGATGCTGGTTTAGGTAAATTAAAGCTCGCGCAACATGAATGGGTCCACCGGTGTCAACGTGAAATCGCTATAGTTCCGTACCTCTGTGTGACCAGGGACATGGCGGACAGAGGCGGTGCTAGCTGAGGATGATGTCATCTCACTGCCAAATGACATTCCGCTGCTGTCTGCTGCCACGCTGGGGGTGAACCCCTGCACTGCCTTTAGGATGCTGTCTGACTTTGAAGATCTCAAGCCAGGTAGCATTTCCCACACACAGGAGTATAATGTTTTCTTTAATGGAACTCAGTGTCATTGGAGTACATACACATGTGTAGATATACAGATAAAGCAAGTCACTTTATTTTATTTTCATCTTTACTGGGCTGGCATTTGAAACAAAAACATCCATAGAAAGGAATTATGTACAGTCATGAGTGTTCATTAATCAACAAGCAACATGATGAGAACAGCATGATTATTTAACCTCTTAAGAACCAAGCTCTTGTTTGATATGCATTTTTTATTTCTCTTTGCTATGTGATCAGATCAAATAGCAAAGATAATAAAAAATAAAAATCTGTAAATAAATAAAAATAAATTTAAAAATATTTAAATTATATATATATAATAAATAGCAAAGAGAATAAAAATATATAAATATAATAAAATAAATATTTAAAAAATGTAATTATTTAAATAAATAAATAAATAAAACAGTAATAAGAAAATAATTTTACAAATAAATAAAAAATACAAAAAATTAACTCCTGTGTTAATATAACCCAAAATGTGATGTCCATGCATGTGGATGCCAGGTTTTAAGAGGTTAAATGTGAAATACTGAAAATCTAAAAGGAGGTTTTTGGATGCAGTACCTAAATGTTTCCTAATAATATGACATGCTATGCAGTAGTCTTGGCCATCATAACACAGTTTCTCTCTATCTGCTGTATTTTTAGGTGATTCTGTGATCCAGAATGCAGCCAACAGCGGAGTCGGGCAGGCGGTCATACAGATTGCTGCTGCAAGAGGCATTAACACGATCAACGTTATCCGAGACAGGTGAATTCAGGTGTATTAGATTACCTCTTCAATCACAAAGTTTTTAGAAACAGTCAGTAAATAACAGAGTATAGCTCTCTGTACTGTTTTCTTCTAAGCTTATTAAGTCTTTTAATAGTCAGTCCTAATAAAGTTGTCAGTCTGCCAGTCTGCACAAGTTTTTATGTGCTAGCCTTTACAGCTGTAATGAACTTTTTTTTCCCTTTCTAAGGCCAGAGTTCACACAGCTCAGTGATAGGCTGAAGGCCATGGGAGCCAGTCACGTGATCAAAGAAGAGGCCCTCAGGCGGCCTGAGATTAAGGAACTGTTCAAGGTCTGTGGGTATGAAGACCGCTTTAAAGATATGATCACACGGTTTTGCCGGCCAGAAAATAACAAAGTTCTGTCATTGTTTTTTCAAGACGTGTCCAAAGCCTAAACTGGCATTAAATGGAGTTGGAGGCAAGAGTGCAACAGAGCTGCTGCGTCATCTACAGTGAGAATGCTTTAAAATCTTTGTTAGTATCATATACCATCCTTACATTGCAGAATAAAACAACAATCATATGTTTTCTGTTTATTTTAGGGTTGGAGGATCTATGGTGACATACGGAGGGATGTCCAAACAGCCAGTTACTGTGCCAGTGGTAAGATGAAACCTGGCAATGGCATTTCAGATTTAAAGACACAATTTTACGTCTTTTCAAATGTGCCCGCTTGCTTTCTTGCTGAGAGTTAGGTGAGAAGGTTAATACTATTCAGTGTGAGAGTGATACTGACCCTCTCATCACCGTCTCAGACTTGTCATTTAACCTTCTGCTTTTCTTTTTACTCACCGTTTAGTATCATTAGTGTTAGGGGAAGTTGTTACATGACGGTCTCACTGTTGTTTAATCTGCTTCTCCATGAGATCACATTAGATGACGCACTGCCCACCTGAGTGCTCCCGTTGTTCTCCCTCTGCATAGTAATTTTAATGTAACATAGTGTATGAGGCCCCACTTTTTTTGAAATCTCGTCATATATCTGCGATTAGAGCGAAACACATCTGTGAGAATTTTCCTTATGTGTGTTATGCAACCTGATTTCTGTCTCCTTCAGTCTGAACCCAGCACTGCTCTGAGCAAGAAAGCAAATTTCTAAAAAAGAAAAATGTTGAACTATTGCTTTAAAGTAACATCTGATGAGGATTTTTTTTTCTCTCACATGTACACATGGTGACCTTGTTCTCTGCAGAGTGCTCTTATTTTCAAGGATGTGAAAGTTCGGGGGTTTTGGGTCACACAGTGGAAAAGAGATAACTCTCATGGTGAGTTCGCATGACTCATAAAATAAACCTAAAGAGATGCACATCTCAACGGGTCACTTCAGATGAACTTTAATGACCTATTCCTTTCTCTAGATGAAAGAATATTCAGAACCATGTTGGATGAGCTCTGCTCCCTCATCCAGCAGGGAAAGCTTACCGCTCCAGCCTGCACCGAGGTGGGTCTCCAAGAGTATGGCAAAGCTCTGGATACAGCCATGCAGCCTTTTACTTCAACTAAACAAGTCCTGATTATGTGAGCTGTCTTGATTTCACATGCTAACACCACACCGTTGTGATTACAGTGCCGAAACTGAACTGTAACCTCAGGACTGTCACATTATTTCTAAAGTGTCAACCAAATGTACTGCTCAATCACATGCTGAGTAAATGTGTCTTCACACCAGGCTCAAAGTCCAGTATCTTTCCTGTTCTGCAATGACACCTCTGAGTGTTTGGCTTACTGGCAGTGATCAAAAGCTCATTAAATCTTTATATACTTATATGAGAGAACAGGCGTTATCACAGAACCCAGATAATACAAATTTATCTGTTATGTTAACAGATGGGACAGATTGCTTTGCTTTTACGTGATTAGTTACACAGACACAATGGAAATCCAGTTAATATTTAGCAACGCATTTATTGTTGAACAGATACTGATTGTCAATGGTGCATTGATTCCATGTACTGGAACCGATTTCTGGAATAGCTGCAGTAGATTTTGACAGTTTCTGGTGAAAAACATTTCACAGACTTCTTGATTCGATGCAGAATCTCACAGTTTCTGGTACCTTAGCCTCTTGAATTTCAAGAATAATGTGTGGTTTTTCAGTTGAAAGGAAGTACCAATAAACCAAGGTCAAGAGGCCACACCAAAGATTTGTGAAGTCAAAGGTTGTTTTTCTTTACTTCATTACATCTAGCACATGGCTCAGTGCATCTGTGGTTATTGTATCATTTAAAATATGAGGACACAATCTGTGATGCTAACTGTGAAACACACGTCATTTAAAACAAATATCTACATGATAACAATACTGCTGATTATTATTGAGTATTGCTCATTTTTCTATTCAACCCCTTTCACACAAAAATGTGCTTTGGTCGGTCTTACTACTCTTTCATGTTTAAGCTGTGAGTGATATATGCTTAAAGTTTGAATAACTTATAATTAAAAGTGGAATATTTTACATCTTTAAACATGTCTAGAATGAATGTGTTAGAAGTGTCTGTGATGATCTCTACTGACTGGTCAGTATGAGACTTACAGCCACAGAGAGGACCGGCAGCAGCCCGCCATAAATGAATGCTGCTCCTTCTTTTACCAAACACGCTTCATACTTGTCAAAGTCTACCTCTCTTGCTGCACACACATGGTCAACCCTGCAGTCACTGTCACACTCTGTCAGGTCGTAGTTGACAGAGTTGAAATCATAGTACTTCTGGAGGTAGCAGTGATCACTAGCCATACGCTCCAGGACCTGGTGCATGGAGGCTGGAGAGGCATCCGGTACTCTGAAGCTCTCTGTGAGGCGATACTCTTTCTCCCAGCGTCCTGCGGCTGCATTAGCGTGACTCAGGTTCAAATAATAGGTCACCACATCCTGAGTGTGCCCACACATGGTGTTTCGAAACAGAAAACAAAACCATAAAAGCATTAGAAGTCTCCTCTGGACGTTTCTTTGTAAAATATTGCTACATAGACAAGCCACTAAACATACTTGAATGAAAATGATATAAACTGGCCATGACTTACTTTGACCAGGAGCGTTTCTGTGTCATATTCAAACACACGAATCCCAGGGTTGTTGGCTCCATCCACGACTCCGGGAAGTGTTGTTTCCCATGGTGTTACACCTGGACTGAGGAACATCGTACTAATAGGAGTGCCTGTGGAAACAGAAAAGGCGTCACTATTGATTACTAGAATTTTACCACTTTAGGTATGGCACATGCTCATGTTGACGTCAGGACACTGCATAGAAGAGGAACCACACGATGAAGCAATTACCAAGTAAAAATAATTCAGTAGATCACTGGTGCAAAACAAGGTAAAAACAAATACTGCTATTAGAACAAAGGGACCTACCCTTTGCGTTGTAGAACATGCGGAAACTGTCGGTATGATGATGACCAAAGAACTGCCCGGCTATGACAGAATGATGCTTTTCAATTAACTCCAAGTATTGCCTGTTGAACTTCGGAGTGAACCATGGCTTACTTCTTTTCTTCTCAAAGAAACCTGGGGGAACGTGGCCAATAATGTAAACCTAGTAGACAAACCAATATAGTTAGAAAAAGTTATCTCACAAAAGGCTGACTTCAACTATTGCTGAATATATTTAGCTTTTGGGTTGTTTTGAGCCAGAGAAATGTGATGTGTCACCAGGCAGAGTCTAGTGGTACAAGATACCATCTTCTCCAGTGGATAATTACTTATACATGGGGACATAACCAGAAGCTGCCCTTCCATTTTACTCTGATAAACAGCATCAATAGAGGTATTCATTTTCATTTGCATATTTCATTGCAAGCATGGAAGCAAATAAAAAGAAATCAGGATAGTGGTTTGCAAAAGTTCCCAGCATCCAGGAAGATGCCCTCACTATTAAATTCAGTAATAATCCTGTTGCTGTGAACAGATTGCGATGCCTTGCCTTCTCTTTGTTGTTGGCTGCCTCCGTAAGAGCCCGATCTGCCCAGTAAAACTGGCCCGCAGGGTCGACCGTGTTCTGGGTCAGCTTGTTCTGGTCGTAGTACAGATTAGTGTTAAGGACCAGCATCCTGAAACCCGGTCGATTCAGTAGCGCTTCTGTGTAAAATCCCCCTGCGCAAGAGGAACATTTCAGAAAGCGTGTTTTACTTACATTTGTTCCATGTATGACAAGATGAGTTTTGGATTCTTTGGAAAGAAACTGTGCATATGTTTGTAAGTGTCACAGCAAGTTGTGTTTACCTTTTATAAATGTCTCTCTGGAGTTTGGATCCAACCAGTCCTGCCACATTTTTGATATTTGCTCATAGATATAGTTTTGGGCTGCAGGGAGCTGACTCTTAGGGTGGTAGTCATGGTTGCCCAGGGCAGAGTACACTTTAGTCACTAAAGAAAGCAATAATATAAAACTTTAGTCATTGTTTAGAGTCAGTAAATGTTAGAACACAATGGTATATACTGATCTGGGACGTTTTCTCCTTTTAATGTACAGCGATGTCACCTGATTTCACACTTACTTGGAAAGACCTCTTTTATGATGTGGGTGAGGTTTCGGACAATGCTGAGCACTGCCTCTTCTCCCAGATCCTCATTGGGTACATGTGGTGTGTCATCTCTGGGAAGTAAAAACAGCTTTCTGAATATATGCTGGGTAGGAGGAAGTGATGATTATCTGGGCCCAGTCAGAAAGAATCTACTACCAACAGTAATAAACCAGTATGCTGTTCTCAAGCTGCTGTACCTCGTAAAATAACGGTGACTCTGAAGGTCTCACAAGCATATGTGTCCCCACGGATGGACTTGGGACTGAACACTGTATTCATGAAAACAAAAAAAGTCCCTGTCAGATTACATACCCCGTCCACACGATGAAGTCCGGGTCTGGTAGGATGTTTTTCATTGCGTGCACAGAGGAGTTGATAAGGTGCCATGGCGCGTCACAGACATAGTCTCCAAATTTACCGGCACCGGCTGCGGGTCGATTCCCGCTGGATGCGCACACCAGTTCAGGATTGTTGCTCAGTTCGTATGTTGGGTCCCAATGCAAATCTGTGATATGCCAAAAGTTCCCTGGACAAAGAAAACAAAAAACAAAAACGATGCGTAATTGCGCGCAGAAAGTTGTGCCTGCACCATGACAAGAGCTCTCCAAGAAACACTGTAATGCGGTTATGATATTAATGCTGCTTACCTGACAGCGCAAGACCCTCTTTCAGAAGCAGACACGATAAGAGCAACCTTACTGCGGACATGTTGAACTCTTTGAAGAAAGCCAACAAACGACAAAAGCCAAGCCGAGGTTTGAAAGGTAAGGCTATAAAGGACAAAGGAAGATAAGATAGAGGTGTTCATGACGCGTCTGTGACTTGAAGGTGGTCCATTGTGTAACACGTTCCCAAGCATGCTTTGTATTTATTTACCTATATTGATAACAAACAAACAAAATAATCTCTTAAATGAACAGTAGATAGCCTGTTATGGGCAATGACTCACCCATAATAAAGAAGCGTCATTGCGCATAATTGTGAAATTAAAGAGACAAAAATTATGATGACTAGTTAATGGATATGTGTCTATTAATAGGCTTCAGCTCAGAGTGCCATAAAAAGCATGAGGATAGTCCGCATCACACTCTATTCCGAGTGGCAACTTAATTCCGACTCCATGTTGCCTGGTTTATTTTAATGTAGGCTAAAGATAAATTCAGTGTAGCAGCTTTTATATTTTATTAAAACATACTAATGTTTAAGTATAGGACTAGCCAAGATGGATTCAAGGCGCAAATTATTATTATTTTTTTTAAATTTGCGATTAACTGTGATTTCTTTGAATTTGTCAGAGGAAAGATATGATTCTCTAATATTTATTTTATTTTAATTTTTTTAAGGTGATGTTTTAGCTTCAAAAAATTCAAAACGTAGATATCATTGCATTTAATGATTCCACAATGGATTCAACTTAATTATATTATGCCAGTGGTATTTTCTAGACACAATTATGAATTAAAAGCTTTGAATAAACAGGAAATGCATTTTATAATCATAATAGAGCCTGTAACCTCCGATTACTACGTATTTCCGGCAGCGTTTGAAGGCACCTTCGGTCACGGAATCGCTAGAATTATTGTACCCCGCGATTTGTCTTGCAGGCAGCCTTTCTCCCAGCCTGTCCACCGCTTCGTCAAGCAACATCAGCTAAAGCTACAGCTAGCAAACGCTAAAGTTTGCATTAGGACCGTAGCTGATATTTTTTAGACTCGCCAATGTTGGTGCCAACGTGGGAACTACAGTCTGACAAGCAAAAATAAGGGCTTACAAATCCCGCAACTCCATGCCATCGCAGCTTTGGCGGGACTTCAACTCTGCGCATGCGCCGTACATTAACTCTGGCGCGCGGGACAATACTAGGAAGAATACAGCAGACGTGTGCGCACCTGCAGACCCAGCTTCACAGTGTCTGTCAAGTTTCACAATAGAGTTTAATTGAATTTACATCTAAGGAGCCAACATGTGGAATCAGGGTGAGTTTAATGTCCACACCGGTGTGTTTATGAGGCTGTCAGGTTTGTTTGTTGACGTTGTCTGCTCGCTGCTAACGTTAGCTTGACTACCGAACTGCCTCTTTGTTGTTGTTGTTGGTTGGATGTTAATGCAAATAAGCAAAGTCGTGTGTGATTTAATTGGGAAGCAGTAAAAGTTTGCTTATGTCTGCTATTTCTGCCGTTTTGCTCTTTCAGGAGGGTACAGTGAGTCTGGTATGGCCGGGGGTTACACTCAGTCTCCAGGAGGCTTTGCATCGCCTTCATTATCCCAAGGAGGAGAGAAGAAAGGGGTCTGTACTGCAGCATGCACCGCAACGCCTTTATAGCACACTGACAGCTTGAAACAGAAGTAACACAACTGTGCTGAAAATCAGTCAAAACTATGACAAACCTCACAATAGCAGCTTTGTCTCTGAGTGTTTAATCTATCATAACCCTATCCCATAATTTGTGCAAATGTTATGTGTAGCAAGTGGATGTTGGCACACAGCAGCCAACCATTGTGTGTGTGTGCTGGTGTGTTTTTGCAGAGAACCCGTGCCACACAAATAGTCCCCTGCACAGTGTCCCAGCTGATGTCTGCATCCCAGGCTGATGAGGCCTTCAGGGTAGGAGATGTGGAAGTTACCCAGGTAAGCTGAATCAAAGTGCTCGATGGCATAGAACGCAGCTTTTTTGATTTGTTTTCTAAAGTGGGCCTGACAAGAAAAGTCACAGTAGCTGATGTCTTTAAATTGGTCCGATTAACAGTCTAAAATCCTATTATTATTGTTATTTTTTAAATGAATAAATGATATCAAATGATAACACAGTGATGCATTTTGTTGCATTCTTGAATTAGTATGTAGTCATTAATCTTTTGTAATTGTATTGTGTAACAACAGTTCATGGTTTGTGTTGTAGGTCACTATTGTGGGTATCATAAGGAGCACAGACAAATCCATGACCAACATCCAGTACAAGGTTGATGACATGACGGGCGCTCCCATGGATGTGAAGCAGTGGGTAGACACAGAGGCAAGTGGGGCTCATTTACACCATTTTCACGATTATTGCTGTGATAGATTAGCCACAAGCCATTTTTTAGTGAAGTATAAATATGCAATAAACAAAACTGCTCACAGGGAGGCCTGCGATGTTGTCGTAATTCTGTCGGTGAAACTGTCGGAGCTGGATCTCAATCTACCAGAAATTAAACTATGTATGAGATAGTTAGCGTATTTGTTTAATGAAGCAATAGGAGAAGATATTTAGGTCTCACTCAAAGTGTTTAGCAGATAGCTGAATAAGCACACAGAGCTCTGGATCAAACTTCTCACCCTATCACCAACAAAGTTAATGTCGGGGCATGAAGTCTGACTGACTGCCTCTCCTCGATCCAGATTACTTATACTATTACATGAGGATGTGCACACAATGTGTTGCAGCTCGCCGATTGGCCCCTCCGTGTCCTTGAGTCTTCTTCCACCATCTCATGGGGGCAAAAACTTACCACTCAGCACCCGATTGTTCAGCACCTTCAGTTCCTCCCTCCTGCAGATACCTGCTTGTGACAGGGAAAGATACACACAAACCACCAAATCCTGTTTCCACATATGTTTTCTAATGCTGCAATTGTTTACAAGTTATGTTGATTATGCCTTAAGATAATAATTAGAGGTTAAGAGAATAATACGAGATTATCAAAACATGAATCAAAAAATATATGATCCTGACAAAACGATCACTAATAAACATCATATTTGGTCAACAACAAATGCCACTTCTGAAATTCTATTTTATTGTTATCCTTAACAGTTTTAGTTCACATGTAGTCAGGTATATTTATATTTACAAACAAATTATCAGAGTAAATACTTATACCAACACTGTTACCTGCATGAATTAGAATTAAAGGATCTAGATTGAAGTAAGGTGCTGTTCAAAGTGTTGAGCAAAAATCTCATTTTTTGTTATATTTAATATCTAATTCCACTTGTGCCCATAAAAAACTTGAAAACTGCTCAATGATTCCTTGTTTAGAGATGATCAGGTTTTGGTATGAGATATCACAGGACTCAAGCACCCTAGCAATGATATGATTTTTATTTGTATAGGACCCCGGTGTGGACAGTAGCGTCCTGCCCCCAGGAACATACGTCAAAGTCTCCGGCAATCTACGCTCCTTTCAGGTGAGTTTACCCCTTTTAACAATACCCAGAAACACAGTGGATCCCTTGTTTTTATGAAAGAAAGCGTTGTTCACATTTTTAACATTCTGCTGTACTATGTGTCTATAAGGTTGTGGGATACTGACCGACACGTTTTTTGTTTTGTTTCCTGAAACACGTGTATTTTACCTTGAGAAGGATGTGTGTAGATGTTTCCCAGAGCTGCTCATTCCCTGTAGGTCCTCTGCAACGTGCACAGAGTCTGAAGGTGTGTGTGTTTGTGTTTTTGTCTCAGAACCACAGATCCGTTGTGGCATTCAGTGTCAGGCCACTTGAGGACATGAATGAGATCACCTCGCATATGCTGGAGGTTGTCCAAGCACACATGGTGCTCGGTAAACCTCAGACCATGGTAAGAAACCTTCAACACACACACCAGCAGCCTTTACAGTTGGTTTGAAAAATTTGAGAATGAGGAAGTTGGGGTCAGTTGCTATGGTTACTTTCAGACGTCAAGTAATTTACATTTATTGAGCCGTTTTCCCACCATGTAGTCAGTTCTGCTGTTATCAGATTTCTAAGAATGTATGTTTGAGGATGTCCTGTATGATGATGCAAAGACAATTTGTCAACAAAATGTACTTTTTCTTTCTCTTTCAGCCAGGAGCTGGTGGAGGAATGAGCAGCAGCATCGTGCCCATGTCACGGCCAGCCATGGGAGGCCAGGGCGGCATGGGAGGGGGCTATGCAGGTGGTAACGACATGGCTAACAACGGGTTAAACCCAAATCAGAATCAGGTTAGTGAATGAGTGAGAAAGCAGACAATCCAAAAATAAAAAATAAAAAAATCCTCAAAATTCAAATGTCAGTGATCTGTGAAGAGCCATCGTCCACAGCCGCGACTAAAGGAAGCTGTTTGCTAATCACACATAAATTAAAAATTATCAGTGATTTGTCACAATGAAAGTTTTCTTCATGGTGTTAAGTTCTTTTACTATTTATTTACTGTCCGCCACTTCCTGTAAAACCCATTTGCATTAATGACTTAGAAAAGCAAGTGATGGTTTCACAAAGAGAAGTAGCTAAGATGTCATGCTTCTTCTTTTCGCAGTTGGACACTTTGTGGATATGTGATGTGTCTGTTTTATCTCATTAGGTGCTGCGTTTGATTCGAGGCTGCCCCGACGCGCAGGGCATCAGCATTCAGGACATAAAACAGAGGCTCAACGGCATAAGTCTGGCTGTCATCAAGTAAGGGAAATGCTGCTCTAAGTTTTGAATGACTTGTGGAATTGTAGTGAACTAGGGCAGTAAAGTTAGTCACTATATTGTCGTGTTTTAAATATATATCATTTCTTTTACATACTGTACTGACAAAGTAGTGTTTCTGTTTCTTTTTGTGCTCTAACAGGCAAGCAGTGGAATTCCTCAGCAATGAAGGCCACATCTTTTCCACCATCGACGAAGACCACTACAAATCAACAGACAATGATGACTAGACATTTTCTTAGCACTTGTGGCGTCACTTATTTGAATTCATCCACACAAAAGTCATTAGTTTTTCCCAACTCAAAGCTATCAACAAAGCAACAGCACCTCTGACCTCTTTAGAACTGAGTGAGATCATGCGCGTCCCTGTCTGTTAAGATACTGTGGCTGATGTTAACCGTTGGTTTTGGGTTTTGTGAGACCTTTAGTGTGCACATCCTGCATTCCTGAGGTTGCTTTTGCTGTTTTGCAAAGTCACACAAGTGTTGCCGAAGAAGCCGTTGGTGGCATTTATTACTACATGTCGGTGTGTACGCCTCTGCCCTGTAAAGCATTTTGTAATTTCAAGAATTTGGGAACATAAGTACTCAGTTTATTTTTGTGTATGTAACTTACAAATTTCAAAAGATTGTACAAAATGCAGGTTGTCCTGTCTCTGGAGCTTTTGTTTATCTAATAATAATAAAAAAAATCTTTAAAAGAAAGAACACTGTATTTGAATATGTTTTGTTCAGCAGGATTAGAAGTGATAAAAGCCCTTTCACTTTCCCACAGCTTGTTTCATGAAAAATGGAAGACAAGGTACTTTTTCACATCATATTGCACACAATTACAGTCATCTTTGCAAATTTATTCAGATTTAAATACAGAAATAGTTAAAAGTTACATCTGTATTTACACCTTTAGCTTAGCGTAACCTTTCACATCACAAAGTGAATTTTTGCATCTGGCGGCTTCACACGCTGGTCATGCTGCACATTAACATACACTTAAACATCTATGAGTTCTTAAAGGTGCACACTGTTAAAAAAAAAAAGACAAAGTTTGAATAAACCCAACAGGTCTGGGTGCATTTAGATGTCCCATTTTATGATGACAGATATATATTTTGCACAAGAGTAACATATTAATCTCCACATGAACAGAAAATAGTTTCAACTTTCAAAACACTGGTGATGCTAAACAACCATTAGCCCTTTGTTGTCATTTCACAGCACACCATTAAGTTCTTACTGGTGATTAGTTTGATGTGGTTGGAGGAAGAGTTTCTGCTACTGAAGCTGCAGAGAAACTGTCATTTTATAGTTCACCATTAAGTTTTTCAGCTGAATTTTTTTTTTAAAAAGAAAAAAAAAATTCACACTATAGCAACCTTTTGTACTCGCTGGTGATTAGTTTGATGTGGTTGGAGGAAGAGTTTCTGCTACTAAAGCTGCAGAGAAACTCTTTTGTGGTTTGGACTGTCGCCTTCTGTTGAGGACTAGACGGAGCCCTTTCTGGTTAGAGTTTGCATATATACAATGCGAGTTTGACACAGACGTTAAATATGAATGCAATAACATGTAACCCATTGCTATGTGAAGCTGATGAGTATTTTTGATACAAGAAGTTATTGATTCAACTTCATCCTTAAGACTGCAGACTGTTGATTATAGTTCATTTGCAAAAACAGACAACTCAGAACAGCCACTTTTCCATCATCTACCTGAAACAACATCAATCAAACTTAAGCTATCTCTATTTTTGTCATAATTTCTACTGAGTTAAATCCACTCAACTTCAGTTTGATTGACATAACCTAACAACAACAAAAGTTTTCTGAAAATCTACAAAAATGGAGTTACCTGTTTTTTCAAATTAGCTCTTCATATATAGTAATTCACAGCACAGTATTGCACAATATAAATATGAAGGAAAAACTACAATCACTGCTGGCAAATTACCAAATGGCTAGTTAAGAGTTAAAAAGGTAGTATTCGTTCTGTCAGAGTTTGTGTGTGGTAGAATATGGGTAGATGCAGCCACTGAGAACCTTAAAAAAAGGTAAAGCATCTTGGGTGGAAGAAAGAAATGATGAGCAGGAAGAAATTTTGCTGACGACATGACAAAAAAAAGGAGAATTAAAAATACTGTCTAATCATCAGATATCTGCGGGCCAGACATGTCCTATTACGGAACAAAATAATGGCACGCCAATGTGCGAGTATACCATAAGGAATAGGCAGCTGGATAATTTAATATTCACCTAAAGGGGTGAATACATCTATAGTGAGCATGACATCATATGAGTTTCAACACAGCATTTGAAATTTCATCACCAGGCACCGCACTTTGATTCATTTCTGACCTCACGATTGCAGAAGAAGATGATATTTTTTTTTAGTAGAACATGACATCCTCTTGTGCTTTCTTCACCATGACTGCCAAAGTGTCGTCCACAGTTTCATAGTCATGGTCGCTGTCCTCATCTGTCAGGTCGCTGCTCAGGGCCACTAGGGGAAAGAAGGATAAGTAATGTTTTATATCGGCAGTATTTTTTAAAAATAATTCCTTTGTTCTTTCTAGTTCTTCTGTTACTGCATTGCCATTAATGTCTTCCTTGGAGAGAACTGTTTGGAAATAAACAATAATGTCTCACCAGCCTCACATTTTACTTCCACCTTTGAGTGTTAGCTCAAAAATATTAAAAACACTTGAATAAGTCTGTGATATGTTTCTTGATTTTGAATTAATCCCACATACACAGTCCTTGTTCCGTAGCTGCAGAAAATGTGGCTGGATTTAGTCCCCAAAAGAAGCAGGATTGGCCTTTTGTTAGCATTATTTCACCTTTTCCACAGTCTGGACAAGGAACTATTAGTGATTCTGGTCTTAGAAGAGAACATGCAGGAGAATAACATCAGAATCCATTATTTGTGATACAGTCTGCAAAAAAAAATTACCGTTTATCTTGGACTCCTCGATTTTTACGTAAGTGTTGGGCAGAGCCTTGCACTGTGGCGTTTCAGTCCCTGAGTGCTTTCGGGGTGCGATGGGTGGAGGTTTGTCATCTGAGCAATCCTGCATAAAAACAAGGAAGTGAGAAATACTTGGTTTTAATACAAGCATGACTTCATTTAAAAGAAAAGAAAACTTGAGGTCCTTTTAAGATTTCCTGAAAATCACATTGCTAGAAAAGGGCTGCAGTCACGCTTTGGTGGAGTTTACAGAGAATCATGAAAATGTGGAACAGCTCACACATTTGAACTGACTCTTGAGAGTGTAATTCAAGCAATAAGGAGGTACACTTACTGGAGGCGGTGGAGCTGGGGGCCGTCTTTTGCTATTCAAAGTCAAATCACTGAATTGTTTGGTTGGCACGCTTTTCCCTGGTTGGTGTTTGGACTTTTCTGCCTTTTCTGATTTCTTTGAGGATTTCGATTGCGCCTTTTTGGACGGTTTTGAAATTGACATATTTCGCTTCGGTGGTCGAGGCGGAGGAGCCACATGCAAGTTATCCTGTTTGCAAAACTCATAAAAGAACGTGTCTGTCACCTCAGTAACCCTCTCCACGTGGCACTTGGGGGATTCACCCTCGGGCCACGGCGGGGACTCCTCGGTGAACGAGACGGACATAGAGACCCACTTGGTTGGGATCTCGAAACAGCAGTCCGGCTTGTGTGTAAAGCTCGCCTGGATGGTGGGCTCCAACATAGCCCCTTCGATTCTGAGACATGCAAAGCCTACTAGCGGATCAGTCTCCAGTTCTGTGTCACGGCTCACCACTTTAACATCCAGTGGCAAAGTAAACTCCTTACCCAAGTCCCTGAGTCTGTACTTCTTGTTATCGCTAAGTACTTCCACAAAGTGACCCTGCATGTAGAGAGGCAGAAAAATCTCTTCTTTGACATCTTCCCGTTTGACCTCCTCTTCGTCATCTTCATCGTCGTCATCATCGTCCTCATCATCAGGCTCTTGAAGACGGTGACACATGAGAGCCTCGACCGACTGCTTTGGTCCCCCCGTGCTTCCGCAAGGCAGCTCCAGTCTGTCGCATCGCACAATCTCCAGCTGGTCCCCCACACTGAGGGCAGGCAGGCCCTCCTCCTCGACATCCTCACAGTTCCTTGTCACGCTGACCTTCAGACCTGGCGCCTGGATCGAAGCAGCATACAGCTCATACACCGAATTGAACTCTCTCGGCCGTCTCCGAAACCTCCCACCATATTGCTGAGACACCAGGAAGTACTGCTGCACTTTCCGGCTCTTCAAACTGGACAGCAGAATCATGGCGGAAGTTCCTTTTTTGTGCAAAACCAGACGCTGGTTCTTGATAATTTCCGGCAGCCAGCTGCACTTGAACAGATTACGAGTGTCTGGGCCTTCTAGCACCTCTGCCACGACAGGAAATGATTCGTCTGGCTGAGAAAGGACCTCTGTCAGGCTAATCGGGGTCACGAAATTTACATCTTGACACATCTCAGTGACATCAACCACATCCACCTCCAAGCTGGACGGGAACTTCAACACGTTCTTCCTCACTGTGAGAAAATGAAAGAAATGGTTAGAAAACTGAGTGGAGGTGCTGACTGAAGTGATGCTATGTTTCATCAAGCATGTCTAGAACCTAGAACGGCATAAATACACACTCTAGTTTGCATTCACATTTCTAAAATAGAACCAGCAAAATATATGTAAATATTCTCTCTGTGATGTTCAGTTATAACACATCATATGAGTGAATTATTTTCACTGATGCGCTGATGTTGTTTGAGGTGGCGCTCATTTTTATTTTATATCATCATTGGTTCTATATATAAATTTAGGAAACGGAAACACACAAGTGCGAGTTCCTCATGATAATATGAATATGCAGATTTAAAAGGGACTATCCACTATTATTTACCTATAAATCAGACAGTAAGTTATTCAAATGAATACATAAATTAATTCTGATAAAACAGAAAACAATGTGTAAATAGTTAAATAATATTTTTTTAAAAAGTTGCTCTCACAGTTCATGATGGCATGGACTTGGTACACCGGACTGAGGACCAGTCGTCGCTCACACTTGGTGGTGTTGATGAAGCGAAACCTTCGACTACGCAGACAGGGAGAGGACATGATCTCCACCAGAGTGAAACACTCCTCGCTCTCACACTCGTAAAACTCCCCCCGGGAAGAAAGAGGGATGCACACTTCAGCAGAGGCTTCTTGTTGTCCTTGAACGTGGCAGCGCGCACGGTCCTCTTCGCCCTCACGCCTCTCGATGCAGATCACAGTCAAAGCCCTCCCAGCCCCCAATGTAAAGTTGCCAAAGGTCATTTTGGAGCGGCTGGTGAAAGTGAAGGGAAGGCAGGATTCTAGCTCAACGGGCCTCAGCCTCACCATCTCCTCTATTGTGCTGTACGGCATCTCTTCTGGAACAACCTTGAACAAGCCTTGAGAAACATGCAGGTTTTAGCGAACAACCGCACAACAAATTTAGCCGTTCTCATGAGAATGCTGTAAATAGCTCTGACCAACCTGTGTGGCTGAGAGGCAGCTCAAATTTCTCATGTTTGCTGATGTCTTCGCAGCAAACTGACACGAGCTCAATGTTGATGACCTTTATCAGGTCCCCAGTAGAAAAGCAGACTTCGCTCCCAGAAATTTCATATATAGAACCTGTCAAAGTGAGAAACGGACCCAGAAAGGAACAAAAAAGATAAACAATGTTTTCTTAACCGAGGCATAATCTAACATACTTTAATATGATTTTTAGGAACTGTGAACAGTACAGACTTTAAAACTATAACAATGTGGGATTTAGCTTTCAGAAAGGAAGGAAGTTGTCGCTATATAAGTTTTAATGTTGGCAAAAAATAAAGAGACATTGAAATCCAGACATTATAATCACAGCCATCAAATGTATTCAGATCTATAATTTCTTCAGCTTTGTCCTCATCTATACATTCACACTCAGTCACGTCACACTTTGATTTCTCAGCAAATAAAACAGTAAAAAAGTCCTACCTTGGAAATATACACCCGAGCAAACTTGTAGAATTTTGGGCAGACAGGTATTGTCCAATGATGCGATAAATTCTTGAAGTGGCAAAGCAGTTGTGCCTGCCATCACTGATGTCTCGGCGTGCTGCAATCAAACATGAAGGCAGGCAGCAAATGACAAGCGCTGCACAAAAAGGGTATGTTTTCTCAGCTCAAAACCACAAACGTGAATGAGGAAGTTACAGGAGCCATTTGCAGAACTTTTGCATTCATCGACAATGGCCAAGTGATACAGCATTTTACTGAGAAGGTGCAAAAAGAAAGCATGTTTTGTCACGTAAGTTTTCACCAAAATAAAACAGACCAAGACACTCTAAGTTGAGCTTTACACCTTTTTTTTTTTTTTTTTTTTTTCAAGGAAATGTGTGTACATTCTGTGTGTGAGAGACAGAGAGAGTGGGAGCTTTAAATATTTCTGTGTGAACAAGTAACACTCTTAAGTTCTCCCCTTCTATCAAAAGGACAAAATCAACTTGTGTTCCTATATGTCACTTGACAAGTAGATCTGCTGCTTGGAAACAAACTGTCAGGTAGATCTACTTGACATATAATGTTCCCAAGCTTTCAGTTTTGGTATTATATCTATCAAAAGTGTCAGAGTACTGGTTTGTGTCAAAGCAGTAATACCAAACCACACTAACAATGTCTGCTTCTTATTATTCTCTCAATATATTCTACTCCTAGTGAAGTTCTACGTCTCTGACACATCCTTCACACAGGAAACTCTGTGTACTTAAACTAACCTCATGCTCACGGTAGGAAAAGACAGCACCCTCGCTTCCTTCTTCTGCAAGGAGAGACAAAGCTGAGCATCCTCCCACCTCTCCGTGGCAATGCAGCATCTGACAAAAACCACACTTTCTAAATTAACCTTAAATGGCCACGAGGATCATCTGGAGCCCCCCTAATATAATGTGCGAAGGCCTTGCAACGACTATACACCAGAAACCTTCTCAAGCCGCCACCTCTTCACAGAAGTTCAGATCAAATACATTTCACAACCTTCTTATTTTAACCTTTTCCATTTTGAGTCAGAAAATTAGGGTCTGAAGACCCCCTAGGAGTTCTTAAGGGAACTCAAATTTGCCTTTATTAACTTTTTTTCTCCCCTGATTCATTTTAGCACTTAAAGAATTGTAGTAATAAAAATAATAACAATAGTACACATCGCTTAATATGGTCTAATATTGTATATTTTCTGGATGTATATTGTTTCGGTTTCCAGACTACAACTCCCAATAATCCGAAGTGACGTTTACCCAACATGCACTTCGGGTTTGAGAGGCTGAAGCAAGATGGCGACTAAAATAAGCAAAGAGAGTCCCCCTCCTTTTGATTGTCCATCATGGTGAGAAAATGCACACGCTAAAGTTGTAACAGTTTGCTTGTGATGCAGTATCAGGTGCAAATGAGCAAAGCAGCGTTAACTCATCCGGATATCCCAATTTTATACCAGAGAAAAGCTCAGAATTACTGTAGCTAACATTAGCATCGATGCGAGCTAACAGGCTAACCCGTTAACGTTGGCATTCATTTAGAAATGGCGTGGGGTGTGTTTTTTTTTTTTATTGCTATATCTTCAACTTAGGAATCATAGTTATGAACAGCAGAATTTCAGTCATACGAGCAGGATGATTCCTGTGAGTATTATTAGTATGAAATCAATATTTGTCTTTTTATCCGTGAAGGTTTTACTCTTGCAAGAGATGGCGACTGCCATAAACGTTTTCATGCAGAGGTCGAAGTGCTCGCTTTTATTTCTAAATCTTCAAGTATGACAAGAAAAACAAACCTAGGATTTCCATCTTTCTACAGTAATGATCTGCTTGCATGCATGCCTGCCATGTAAACTGTTGTTTAAATGTTTAAAACGATCACCAACTGTGTGTTTTCAGGGCAGGCAAACCGCCCCCGGGGCTCCATCTGGACGTGATGAAAGGAGACAAACTGATAGAGGTAACTGGAAGCTTGGAAATGCTACCTTAGGATACAGTTATCTTGTAATGGCTGATACCATGGGTCTAGTAAGCACCAGATACGAGCCTGACAGTCTGCTTTGTCCCAGATGTGGTTCACGCTGGGACTTTCTATGGCTGCATGGCTTCAAACGGTGCAAGAGCAGCATCTGCCCTGAGATTTAAGCTTTTCAGTGGAAAGCAACACTGTTGAGTTATGGCTCAGAGGCACAGAGGTTTTATTCATGCCCTTTTATCATTTGTGTAAATGCTAATTATCGGAATTTGTGTCTCCTTGTAGAAACTTATCATAGATGAAAAGAAGTACTACCTGTTTGGGAGGAACCCGGACTGGTGCGACTTCACCATCGACCATCAGTCGTGTTCGCGTGTTCACGCAGCCCTAGTTTACCACAAACACCTGAAAAGAGTCTTCCTTATAGACCTCAACAGCAGTAAGACATCAACCACAATCACATCTGTATACTCACTGTCGTTTGTCTGCAAAACTTTGACGTATGTTCTGCTAAAGGCTAGAAATGAATAGAGCTGACCTGTAAAGAAACTAACCTCAGATAATGTGGTATGAATGAGGCACTTTATGTCCAACCAGCCATTTATTCTGGCAAAAATTGAATGATATGAAGTTTGTCACTGCCAACGTTTTAATAACAAGCTCCAGAAAATGCACATTGAGAGGATATACCAGACGGTAACTGAGTTCTGGGAAGAAGGTTCTCATGTTACACACAACACATCAGTCCTGCAGGAAGCTGTAGATATATATTAATACATGATTGCCTAATAATGAATTAAATTTACAGTAATAATGGAGAATAATCGTATTGACGACTTGTAGTTATTTTTGTTTAATACACAATCTTAATTTATGCTTTCATTCGTCACAGGACCATCTTTAAGTGTTGTTTCTGTTCTAACATGCAAACCTTATCTGATTGTCGCCAATTTAGCGCACGGTACTTTCCTCGGACACATCCGCCTAGAGGCACACAAGCCTCAGCAGGTTCCCATAGACTCTACAATATCTTTTGGGGCCTCAACACGGACCTACACGATCAGAGAGAAACCCCAAACCCAAGGCAGCGCTGGCACAGGAGACAGTAAGACAGGCGACGATGAGGAACTGAAGGGACTGCTCGGGCTTCCAGAGGAAGAGACGGAGCTCGAGGTACGTTAAGTCTCCTGATAATATTCTCATGTTGTCAAACATTAACTGCATAAAAATAGTGAAAAATAAATGGCTGGCTCTTGTGACTGATGTGAGCAACTCCCTTCACATTCCTCAGCAGCTGTTTGGTTCAGGTCCAGGCTCTATCTAGCCAACAGCATGTGGACAGTCAATGTGTTGTTTTTTTTTTTTTTTTAAACTCAACTCAAACCATAGCTTGCACAGGTATAAAATCACCAGTCAAAATTATAACATCATAATATTACCACATGATCTCATTATGATTTATTTATCTGTTTGTGCCATTTGCATATTTATCAACAAAAATACATGCTTACTTTTCTCATGGGGTTATGATATTACAGTCCTGACTTGACATTCCGAGCCTTAACAATCCGGAAACGTTGCTATCTGACAGGTTTTTAGGAAAAATGAACAGAAACCATAAAGAAACAGCCTTAACATACCGACAGCCTTGGATTCCGACTCCGACATGACATTTTATATCACAAATAAGGATAACGGCGTATTATCTGACTGAACAATCCGACAGGTTTACTTCCCTTTGATGGCAACCGACGGGCCCGTGCACAAGCGCACCGGTCAATTAGACGTGAAATCCAGCGATGCGTAGTGTTCTAACAACACACTAGTGCCACTCATTGAGTGAGTTTGCCAACTTATGAAGTTGGTTTGCATCAGAACAATTCTATGAACCTGTATATACTGCAGGTGTATCAGGCTTATCAGTCATAGAAACAAATTGCTTCCATTCTGTTACACACCAGACAGCATACGTAAAATAGCATTGACCAAGTTCTCACCAGCGTTCAAAAAGTCACAGACCACATCGTGCTCTGTCATGGAGCGACTGACCAAGCGACAACGGACAGAAATAACCGTAGCGGTTAAAAAAGCTCTGTGTCAGTACAAGCTGTTATAACAACTATGAACAATAAACATTAACAGCAAATGACCCTTCAAGCATCAAGCCCTCCTTGTATCTCGACCTCCGTCTTGACAATCCGACAGCCTTGCTATCCGACATAAAAGAAGGTTTTACATTTAGTGTTGGATTATCGAGTCATGACTGTACTTGTTACCGTCCAGATCAGTCTGGTGTTTTGCTTTCTAAAGTTTTGATACCCCTGTTATAGTGCAGCCACCTTACACATGTTTTTTCTTGTGATGCTTGTATCCTGCCAGAACCTGACGGAGTTCAACACAGCTCACAACAAGCGCATTTCCCTGCTGACCATTGAAGAAGGCAACCTGGAAATCCAGAGGCCTAAGAGGAAACGAAGGAACTCCAGAGTCACCTTCAGTGAAGAGGACTCCATCATTAACCCAGGTACAGATCAGAAGTGAAGTAACACAAAATCTAAACTTGCAATGAAACAACTGTGGTTAAACCATTGATTTTACTGATAACGCTAACCTGAAACATTTATTACAGTACAGTATCATTGTATGTAGTCTTGTCTAAACTAAAAATAGTGTTGAAGTCATGCATTCATTTATACTTAAAAGTGATGAGTGACAGAGGTTTTATCAGCACAAGGTACAGACACTTACCTAATATCTGTTCAAAGTGGAGCTTTTAATTCAGATATAATGGACAGTTTAATGAAAGGCATTGCAAAATGCAAATCATATAGTTATGCAAAATTATTTTGTGAGTTAAACCTGTGATGCTGTCCACAGGGCTCTGATCATCCCATCAACATGACATTAGTGTCTATATACATTTCAATTCAAACACCGTACGTATGAGAAAATTAAACAATCTTTATTTTGTTCTTAGTTAATTTTTTCTCTTTAAAAAACAAACAAATACAATCAAAAAATGCTGATAAGAATACCGTTAAAGTACCGGACCGAGAAGCAGTATCAGTAAAAGTGCTAGTACCGTTAAAATCTTAATGCTACCCATCCCTAGTCAGCAGCATATTGTAACTGTGGCCTTTTATTTACTTACAGAGGACATAGACCCGTCGGTTGGACGCTTTAGGAATATGGTTCAGACTGCTGTCATCCCCATCAAGGTAAGTTCTGATGTATGACTCAGTTGACAGGCTAAGCTACAGTCGTCCTCAAATGTATTCATACCCTTCCATTAAAGAAAAGGCAAAATGCACAATAGTCACTAAAATAACTAGAAACTGAAAAAAGTAAAAATAAATACAAATTTGCTAAATTATAATTTAGTGAAATAAGACATTGCTTTAGAATTGTGGTTTAAAAGAATTTTTTTTAAAAACCACATACAAATTAGAGCACTTTACTGATGAGCAGTGAAATCCAAACACCTGTCAACAGGTGCAGAAGTCTGACTGAGAGTTACAGAAAACACTTGATTGCAGTGATTGGCTCAAAGAGTTGTTCAACAAAATATTAGTTTACGGGTCACATCATGCTTGTTTGCTTGTTTTTTTTTTGTTTGTTTTTTATTATTTCTGTTGAACCACAATTCAAAAGCAATGTCATGATTTTCATTAAATTTTTATTTATTATTGCTTTTGTCAGTTTCAACTTATTTCAGTGACAGGTGATTTTTTTCCTTCTTTAATGGGAGGGCATGAATACATTTGAGGACGACTGTATATGTAAACAATAATAGGGCTAGCTGTATGACTGGTAGTAAACATGTAACATCAGGGGCAAAATGTGTAATTTGTGACGTTGATATCCTGCCATCCCTGCTGTAGAAACGGAGATCAGAGGGCCAAAACACTCTGGGTCTTGACGACCTGACTTCAAAACGCATGCATGGCTACAGCTTGGGCGGCGGTCTTTACGGGGACTTGCCTCCCATCAGTCATGAGAACCAACCAACAGGTGCTCCAGGAGGCGCTGCCATGCAGGGAGGGCTTCCTCTTCCCTTCCCTAATCCAGCACCAGAAGTAGACCTCGCCCCCGAGGCTCCACAGCCACCTGTCACTCTCAACCCTACACCTGTAACAGCCCCCTACCTCCCAGAGACCCACAACGAGCCACGCAAAAAGAAGTATGCCAAAGAAGCTTGGCCGGGCAAGAAACCCACTCCGTCATTACTCATCTAACCAGTTTGTTAAAGCTGCTGACTCTCAGGTTACCAGCAGATACATCAGGGACTGTGACCTGGCAGAGCTAGAGCCGTTCACTATTATTATTTTTTGTTGTTTTTTTTTGTTTTGTTGTTGTTGCGTTACTCATTGTCATAAGGTTAAAAAAAAAAAAAAAAAGACGTCACACAATTTCCCTGTCACAAGATATCATCACTAAGTCAGCAGAATATCGTTAAACAGAATTAACCTAAACTTACAAGATTTGACAGCGAGCCTCAGAGTGGCGCTCACATTTTTGTTTGAGTGACAGACCACGCGGATATAATGGGTCATTTAGTTGTGTTTTGGATGGATTTGATTTGATGGATGTACAGCTGTATTTTTTTTTTTTTCTACACGTTTCAATAATTTTTCACTCCTTCAGAATGTTGACAGTGCTTTTAAAGAAACGGCAAAAAAAAAAAAGAAGAAAAAACTACTTTTATATGAGATATTTTACTGTGAGAAGTCAGAAAAGTCAGAAACTCCACATGTGAAGAATTTCTGTCGAAAACAGGGCTGCTTTTTATTTTGAAAAAACTTTATTGATATTAATGTGATCCCATATTTTACTCACTCAAGGTTTCCATTCCATGTGTTAGACCAGTATCAAATCAACTGAAGTGTCTTGCAGTTTTATTACGAGCCACTAGATGGTGACTTGTGCACAAAGGTCAAAGAGTTTTCCATTGGGGGTTTGACGGCAGGCTTGCAAGGTAGCATTCGTTTACGGCCTGTTGCACTAGCCTTAACCAAAATCTGTACGTGGCATCCCATGAGAAGCTTTCGAGTCATTCATTTGGATTCTTGTGCAGGTTAAAGCCATTTGGTCCTAACAGTATACTGATCGTACTTGTCCTTTTGACTTTTTCTGGTATCGAGTTGAAAGTGGTTTGTTGCCAATTTCCCAGCACAGATCTACTGTAAATACAAGGATTTTACAGTTTTTTTGTTTTATGTTTGGCATTTAATTGGACTGAAGTAGAATAAAGCAGAATGGATTCCAGCACAATAACAAATAATGTCAGTAATAAAACAATCAGAATTAGACAGTTTGAGTGGTTATATAGCATGTTGATATCATTCACATTATACCGTTATTACTTTTGTTTTCCTGAACCAAGGTGAGACATAGGAACCGTCTTTGCACTCAGTAGTAAATAGCATAGTTCACTCTGTCCAACATGTAATCAGCTGGCTGTGTTAGGGTTTTAAAAAAAAAAGGTTTACCACAAGTTTAAAGCTCCGATAAAACTTATTCGATAATGTTTGGGATTTTCAAACAGTACAGAGACGATAGAAAGTAAAGAGAAAGAGAGAGATGGAGGGAGAATGGATCCTACAACGCTGTACTCACATTACATCTCTACTCACATTACATGAAATGGAACCTGACCATAAGGCCACCTCAACAATTCCTTCTGTTTTCTTTTCAAAGAAGTGTGTGTGTGAACCAACAAGGTGTCAAGACTGAAAACTAATGGGTACTATATATTGTTTTGGTGGAACTAGGAGAAAGACCACCTTAGTTTTCTTCAAAGTTCACGTGGCCATTTTATGGAATCTTTAAAAGGTTGCAAATCTGGAATTGAAAGAAAGATCCATTTCATTTTTACAAACTGTGCTGGTGACTTTTTTGTCCTTGTGGGCGTGTGGATTTTGTAATGATATGACTGTAAATAAAAAATTAATTACTTTTGATTCATGAGCTTTTTTTTGTTTTTTGGGCCCTTCATGATACTTGTGGAGTCATTCAGGTTGTGCACAAACCTACTCGCTGCAGCCTGTAACATCTAGAATGTCATATCATTGTTAAATTTGACTTTCCTTCTACATTGGGGCATCGACTTTAACTGCTCTGTGTGAATTGCAGGCACACCTGCTTCTCCTGCTGCAGGGGCAGGAAGTGGGATTTTGAAGAGGAAGCCACTGAAAACTTTGTGGTGGCACATGAAAACCATAAACAGCCAAACAGCAACAAAAAAAAGGATTTCAATCATGCCAGACTGTTGCTGCATACAGGCTAGTTGAAAACAGTTAACTGGAGAGTAATTTTTTTGGCCTTTGTGCCTTTATTGATAGTGCAGTGAGAGAGAGACAGGAAAGTGGGGGGAGAAGAATGAGGGGAGGACATGTGGGAAAGGTCCATGAACGGGATTCACAGTCATGACCTCCACATGGGGACTGTAGCCCTGTTCATGGGACGCCAGCTCAACCAGGTGAGCTATAGCGGCGCCCCAGAGAGTTAAGAAATCTTATGCTAACATGCCTTCAACTCTCATTCTACACGTATTGTCATTAACTAGTAACAACTTCCACAGTCTCTAGAGAGGCTGAGGATGGGTTCTGTCTAGGTGTATGACGCGCTGTTGCTTCCTAAATAATGCACAAAAGTTGGATGCGGCTCAGGTGGTAGACTGGGTTGTCCTCCAGTTGCAAGGTTGGCGGTTCGATCCCCGGCCCCCTCCACAGTTGAAGTGTCCTTGGGCAAGAACCCGAAGTTGCTTCCAATGGCAGACAGCACCTTGCATGGCAGCTCTGTCACCATTGGTGTATGAATGAATGGATGAATGACAAAGACATTGTAAAGCGCTATTTAAGTGCAGACTGCTTATTAAAAGTGATTTGTGATTCGCAGGCATTATGCAGTCCTGGCCTACGGTAAACTTGTCAAAATAATAAAGATCCTATATGTATGCTTAGTGTCAGTCACTCAAGCGTGGCAACAAAAATTACAGCTACCCAGTCCTCCTCTCTCTGGCAAAATGACCGCATGACTGACTGTCAGCCCTTTTGAAAGCTCAGCCTGTAACCAGCTACACCCATGTGACCCATGACAACCAAATAAAACAAACTATTAACCCAGTGATCAATACTCAGAAAACATTTGTGGCTCCTACAAACTATACGATTAGCATTTTGGTGATCTCTGTTCACAACAGTCCCTAACAAGAGGCTGCGGTTTATCTGAAGGTCAATAGATCACCCATAAACTTGGAACACTGTTTAAAATACTCGCACGTTAATGATACATCCAGAGTTTGCTCATGAATTTATTATTGACAATCCTCTCAGTTAAATTATAGTTTGTGAGTAAGCTTGACACTGTAGTCAAGCTTACTCACAAGCAGCTGTCCTTTAGCTCTGTATTACCCATGATGCTCTAGTCTTCTGTAATAAAATAGATGTGATTAGATATAAAATTAGTTCCAAGTCTCCAGTTACTTCTGCAGTGGTGTTAGACACTGTATATCATGGTGCCTTGCGTTTTATTCTAAACACCAAATCTCTCACCCATCACCGTCTCTTATATGAAGGGTCAGGACTGACATCATTACCGCAGATGGCTCCACTGGCACATTTTCATCTACAAAGCCATCTTAGGGTTTCTCCCTGGCTATTTAAATCGCCTCCTTGTTCGCTTTACCAGTGGGTACAGCCTCCGCTCCCAGGACATTTTACTGTTCTCGGTCCCTCGTGCCTTCACTGCATTCGGGAAGACTGCGTTTTGTTTCAATGCCCCTTGGTCCTGGAATCTGATCCAGAAAACGCTCAAATTGTCCGACCTTGTTTCCTTGGGAGATTTTAAATGTTTGTTAGAAACTGTAAAAAAAAAAAGAAGTCTGTAGCTGCTTTAAATGAGTTTTTATGTACTGTATGTATTCCATGTATTTATGCCTTCTAGTGATGTTCTATTACTTAGCTTATTTTTTGTGTGTTGTATTGTTGTAAACCTTGTTGCTGCCCTCTTGGCCAGGGCTCCCTTGTAAAAGAGATGTCAATCTCAATGGGACTCACCTGGTTAAATAAAATAAATAAAAAAGACTCAGTTTAGCATTACGAGACACTGTTTAACAAATCTTAGCGAGTACTTTGGACGTGTTTCAAAAGAGGGAATGTGGCATTTACGTGATGTTACCTCCAGTTAGGTGATGTTGAGTTTCTATTTATAGAAATGAATAAAAACAATGATTATAGTATGAAGACACTTGCATCTGAAAGATCCAGTCACTGGTGAATCAGTACTCCTGGCTATAACTACACCGAGAAGACAAAAGAAGACTCCAGGCAACTCAGTGAAAAGGTTTTTTTTAAAGCATTAGAGACACCTTTAACTCCTCGGATAGAGTTTGAGTGCCAGATGGGGAAGCCGATGCATACGACCCAGTTCTTCACCAGTCAAAGCTTTACAGCAAAGTGGCAAAGAGAAAAAAAAAACTGCTGAAGAAAGGCCCACATTAAATCTTGACTAGAGTTCACCAGAAGGCATATGGGAGACTATAAAGTGAACTGGAAGAAGAGTTATTTGGTCTGAAGAGATCAAAACTGAGCATTTTGGTGGATACCAAACACAACACAGCATCCCCACCATGAAGCATGGTGGTGGCAGCATCATAATGTGGGGATATTTCTCAGCAGCAGGCCCCAGAAGGCTTGTAAAAGGTAGAAGCTAATATGAATGCACCAGAGTATAGAGAAATCTTGGAGGACAACCCGATGCAGTCAGCAAGAGAACTGTGTCTTGGGATACGATTTGTTTTCCAGCAAGACAATGACCTGAAGCATGGAGCCAAAGCTTAACAGAAATGGTCTAAAAACAAGGAAAATGTTCTGGAGCGGCCAAGTTTGAGCCCAGACCTCAATCCAATTGACAATTTGTGGGTGGATCTGAAAAGGGCTCACAATGGCCATGTAACCTAACAGAGCTTGATCAGCTTTGCAAACAAGAATAGTGTTACTAGAATACGCAGAGAGAAGCATTAACGACTAAAACAGTGAAGCGATTTATTTCCGTTCCAATTAGCCATAACTCATTTGCACATAAAATCATAAATATGTAGTAACCTGTGCTTTGCTAAACTTCACAACATCTTAGATTATTCATTTACACAACAAATAAAGAAATACAAACTCACCTCTGAACATTTCAGATTTGTTAAAAACGGATTAGCAGCACATTTTTAAAAACAATGAAAGTACTATTAATCTTTCACAAACAAAGTGCAAAAACAACTTATGGATATAGTGTTCCAGGGTTAGCAGCAGATCACAACTTTTCTCTTTGTGCTTTTTCAACAAGCAATTCATTCTGAACATACAGGAAATAGAATACAATTTAAATCATTTGTAAGATTCTATGTCAGTATAAAAAAGGTTAACAATGTAGATACCTCAGATCAGCTAAAATTATTCACTAGCTGGGGAATGAATTCTACAACAGCGACTTTAGGTATTTCCCTTTAATTACCCCACTGGGTTTACCGGCTTGATCTTGATGTAGATGCCATCAACAGAGCGGAGCACCACTCTGGGAAGGACCTTAGGTTTCAAAGTGGGATCCTCTATCAGCTCGTATCGCTTCAGTGCCATGGCAGTCGCCACTTTCATCTCATTCATAGCAAAGTTCTGACCGATGCAGTTTCTGAGGAAGGACAGCACAACAAAACAAAAAGAAAAATTATTTCAGTAGCAATATGAGCAACACATGAGATATGCAGCAGGTGGACCAGATGGAAAATAAGAGATGTTTTAATCATATCAAACAACCATTCAGCATCAGAGGTGTGTATTGTTTTACAGTGGATCACTGTAAGTTACGACCTTTCCCCTCCTTTGCACAACCTTTTTTATTGTGTGAAAAAATACATGGGCTGGTGGGGTGGGATGGGGGCTAGTGCTACGTTACACATTCACAAAGTTTAAACTGTTGTCACGGAGACAAGTACACAGTTACAAGCTGTAAACTGAGAACATCATTTACTCAGACCCACGGTATCAGGTACAGACTAACCTTGGCCCAGCTGAGAAAGGCACAAAAGCATGAGGCGACCTCTTAGAAGCATTCTCTGGTAGGAAACGCAGCGGATCAAAGACCTGGAATTTCACAAGATGGAGGGAAAAAAAAAAGAAAAACCTGTTGCGTAAATAACACATTTCCTAATCCTTATCTGTCCATGGAGAACTGGACCAGAGGGCTGTACTACAAAGCAAGATTAGTGGGTTAGGTGTGTTGAGCTTAAAGCCAGAGTTTTCAGCGTCAACAAAGGTGGCTCTCTTTTTACCTGGCTAGATCTCCATGGTAACCGATGCTGTGGAGCGAACCTGGCTGCAGATTCTCAGCTGAGGGAATGCATGATATCTGCAAACATGCTAAGTTGTACATCACTAACATCACTGAATGATGCTGTGTTGTTACAGTATGGCACACTGTAAATATTGCGTTGCCATGGGAACCAGGCATGTATATAGTTGTCGATACAGAAATCATATAAATATGTTTTTATGTTTGGCTCTGATTTGGTGTCGAGTCCATTTACACGACTGGTACTGCAGCTGATAGAACACAAAAAGTGGATTATTCTACTAGTATTTATTACAGAGAATATTTTATCAATAACATTAATTTCGCTTTGATTTGGCCAAAAGTTAAAAAGATATCCTGCATTATGGGACAGAGTCAGACCTAAATGCACTTCAATACAAGATCATGTTTAAATACATTAAGTTTAAAGTTAAACTGTAACATGCAGCTGTCAGTTGGAAATAAGCAGCTGCATCTGTAAAACATTACACGCTAACACGTTTGACAGTTTTCTACCAGCATTGCTGTCTGGAACCATTTGCAGCAGCAACGCTTCTTACTTTCACATTTTTTTTTTAATATGTTCTCCATTAAACCACGTTTAACCACCAAGCAGTTGCACACCATCGTTTCATGCTGTGCAGAAGAAGAGTCTTGTGAAGCGCTGAACGCCACCTTTTATGTGAACACGCACAGAGTGTGAAGCAGAAAGCCTGAGCTGACAAAGTTGACAACCACCTTCGTGATGCCCGTAATCTCTGACTGGGGCTTTCGTTTTTGTCGAGTCGGCATCCGCAAAGAAAGCCCGGCTATCTCAAACTTGCTTTGTAGTATACTCCTCAGGACACTTTGCATCAATTCTGTCATCAGTTTTACAGACAATGTGTAGCATGTTGTGCTCAGAGTGAAATCATCTAGACTTACATGAGGGTTTTCCCAGACAGTTGCATTTCTGTGAATTCCATACACGCTTATTCCAACAAGGGTACCTACAAATAAGAAAAACAAGTCATAAGATATGGTGCACACTAAAGGTGTGTACAGTTCCTAATAAAAGAATTATTAAAAGATTGCAAGCAGCAACCACTCACTGCTGACCAATGTTGGACTGTACCCAACACTGACTGGACCCACAGAACCTTAGTCAACTGTTTATGAAACATGCAGAAGACATCATGGATATGGCTACATAACAGAATGAAGCACTCAGAGAATCTATGGCGTCTTTCAATACTTCACTCAGTGTATATATATACTTAGTTTAAAGCAGGGGTCTCAAACTCCAGTCCTCGAGGGCCGCAATCCTGCAAGTTTTAGATGTTTCCTGCTTCCAACACACCTGATTCAAATGATCAGCTATTCATCAAGCTCTGCAGAAGCCGGATAACGATCCTGATCATTTGAATCAGGTGTGTTGGAAGAGAGAAACATCTAAAACTTGCAGGATTGCGGCCCTCAGAGGACCGGAGTTCGAGACCCCTGGTTTAAAGTGTCAGACGTGGTGGGGAGGGGGGGAGCAAGGCTGACTTGCACAACAACAAAGTCTAGAGGTCACAATGGAAACCTATAAAAGTTAATATTTCACCTTTTCCCTGCAACCTAACTTGCACATTCATTTCCTCTTGTCTTATAATTACACAGACATGTCACTGACCTGCTGGCGCAGTCCTTCCATCAACGAAGGTCATGGGTTTGGTGATTTTTCTGGCAATTCCTGGCACAGCAGGGTAAAGACGAAGGGATTCTTTTATACACATAGTAGTGTAAGGAATTTTACTGAGATCCTCCCTGAAAATAAGACAGACGTGCAGTATGACTTATCAAGGAACAATGAAGTGATGCCTCAGCCAAAACAGCTGTGGCACAGCTGTGGCACTCGCTAGATTCCACATTGCAATGTTTTCACTGCATAAGCCTACCAGTCCATGTAGTCCTTGCCATCCAGAACCTCATTGACTTCAGCCCTGCAAATCTTCTGGTGTTCTGGGTGGCAGGCAAGACAGTAGAAAAGGTAAGAGAGGGCGCTGGCTGTGGTGTCGTGGCCCTCAAACATGAAGGTTTCCACTTCTGCTCGTATATCTTCATCTGACAGACCCTGCTGCTCCTCATCCTGATGGTGAAATAACAGACAAACATATACAAATAAATGAGAAATAACCATGATAATTAAATTAGCTGAAGTATCTCAACTATGATGATTACTACAACTAACAAAAATAGCCATCGTTATATTTATGAAGCACTTTTAAAAACAAATCCAGTACTTTTCAATGAAACAATGATAAAAGTATTAAATAGAGACAATCAGGTTGGTGCTGAGTGTTTGAATTCACACAGGTTTGTCTACTCCTTTAAATTTATGTTGTTTTCTGCCCCAACTGGGCATAAAATGTTCACGTATAGGCACCCACTTAAACCAATAACATACAAGAAGTCATAATAATTACTGAACACACGCATTAGTAGTAGAAAAAAAAAAAAGAGCAACAGGGTTTAATAAGCCTCCTTTCACAGCAATAGCCTCAAACTAATTTTTCTGGTAAAGATCAGATCTGTTCAATGTTAAGAAGTAGTCCTTACTGCTGCTTCTCAGCCTTTTTTGTTTTTCAAATCTTTATGTTTTTAATATTTTTCATTTTTATGTACATGATGTACTTTTATGTATTGTGTACAGCAGACCAACGGGGGCAGGAGGCGTGGCCCGTCGGGCAAATCTGACAGATTGCCAGGCGGGTCGCGCCTCCAGGAAACCACCAGCTGATAGAGACACATTACCACAGACGTCAGTGACGTTTCTGAGGAAGACTGAAGCGACAGTCAAAACAAGGCAAAAACAAAAACAACCCAAAAAAAAAAAAATACTCAGGGAAAAAAAAAAAAAAAAAAAAAAAGAAAAAAAAAACAACCTTATTGTGTACAGCACTTTGGCCAACTGCAGTTGTTTCTAAAGTGCTTTACAAATAAAGTTGGATTGGTGGTGTTAAGTCTACCTTGGGGTCATCCTACACTATGCATACTAGGTGGAGGTCTACAACTCTAACTGGGTCACTCCAAACAGAAGATTTGTTTAAAGTCACTCTGTCGTCTATGTACTTATATTATTAGAGTCATGGTCCTGCTGCATCACCCAACTTCCACTGAGTTTCAGCTACTTGACAAATATCCTGATATCATCCTGTAAAATACCTTTATTAAGTAAGGATTTCATTTTCCCCTAAAGATAAAAGGCTCATGAAACATGACGTTCTCACCCCTGTACTTCACATTTGGGATGATGTTTTGTTGTGGTGCAGTGCCCTTTTTACATCGTACCAAGTACTGCAGTCTCTTCCCAAACATCATTATCATTTGGCATTGTGCATTAGGAATTATCTTAGCTGGGTGCACACTTCTTTTGAGAGTTGCCGGAGCAGTAAAATGTCTCCATTTATAGCCTGCTTGTCTATCTGTAAACCAATTCATAACTTTATTGCGTGAGATTACTGTCTGGCTGTCTTCCCAGAGTGTTTTTCAGATCTTAGAGCAGCTCTAACCCAGAGCACCAATACTTTTTATTCAGTGAACTCCATTGTATTATTGATTTTAAAGCATATTTCTGCATAAATGCAACCCGATTACTAAAAAACTTCTTTTAATCTAAGCAAAAAATTAGATTTATTTTGTTTTCCCTGACTGACATCTTTTTTCTCTAGTGAGGAAATACAAACATGGATAGGCAGGGACGTGGCATGCTGGGAAAGCTAAGGTGAGCCAGATCCTGGTGGCTGTGGGATGTTGACAGGAACCAGAGAGTCTGACTGGCAAACATGAACCTAGATTACCAGCCTTTGCACCAAGAATCTGAGTGTTTGTCTATTGTCTTGTCGCTGCTCGAGAGGACAAAAAGCCTGGCTGTCGCTTTTGTATCAGTGAACATTAATATGCTGAGCATGGGTTACACACATTAATGGGAGCATTTTCTGCTTGCTTTGGCTCATGCTGCACATGAACTTTATGCCATGTCATCTCTTGTTTGATCTCAGGTCTGTGGGTGTCCTCTGGTTTACAGTCGTTCAAACAGTGTCTCAGGGCTACAAACCTTTAGAGCTTGTTAGTTATATTTGTTTGCCTTTCTAAAGTCAGATGAAGGATTCTTTAAGGCTGCCACTGCTTTGATACTGTTAGTTAATACTGGTTATTACTGTTTCCTGGGACTCGTTGCAGTAGCACATACTATCAAAGTGCAGTTACTCTCTGAGCTGTTTGTGGCCTATCATTAAACAAACATACGAGTGTGTGAAGTCAGAGGTTGGAACAGATATGGAACATACTCTTGCAAAGAGAAGAATGTCCAGAAAGTCCAAGTTTCTCTTGGCCTGTATGCGGCCCAGCTCATTCACTTCTTTTAGAGCTTCTTTTCTCTTTTTTATGACTTCCTCTTAAGAAAAAACAAAGAAGATGACAGATGAGCATTTGTAGATTCACTCTAGAAATGGACATACGACACTGCAAAGTGATTGGAACTAGGCCTACAGATACCAAACAGAAAACATTCAGACTGTCAGAGCTTACCTGTATGATCGTGAGCCACCTTGCATGCTTTCCTGAATCTGAAACCGTGTGGACTGAGATAGAAAATGATGTTACTGTGGTATGGAAACGTATTGAGCCGAAGGTTATTCAGGTTGCTGAGCTCATACACTGCTTTGATGTAGGCACTTGTTCCACTGAAACGAGAATGTGGGCAAACATTAGAAACGACATTTCCTCCACTCGTGATCGAGACAACTCGACTGTATTTGACATAAAAACTGAAGCCGTAAACCAGGCAGAGCACAAAACTCAAACTGTGAAAGGCTGTCAAAGATTTAAACGGACTCACGATTCTGTCTGGCAGTTACTCTTGCAGCTGAAGGCGCACCTCATGATGCTGTCTAGTGTCATGAGGCTCACTTCGCCAAACAATTCGAAGGCCTCGTTGGTCTTTGCATAACTCTCCCATTTGTTCTGGCAACAATAAGTGAACAGATGTGACATCTCTGCGGGGAATGGAAATACTCCCACACACTCATTAGCTGGGTCAACTTTTGGCGCAAAAATATGTCATCTTGTAAGGGCCTACATGAGTTGATCATCACATCCTCACTTAGGTTTTCATTTACCCATGTGAAGTGTAATGTACATACCAGCATAATCTCAGCAGATTCTGCCATCTGTTTCACATACGGCTTCAGAACATCATAATGGAAACCCGGAGTCAAGAGCCTTCGGTGGCGAAACCACTTCTGACCTTTTGACAGCAACAACCCTTCTCCTGCAGACAGTATGTGTGTGAGCGAAGCGAAGCAGCTGAACAAAAATAACAAACATGCTGTAGGAGGAAGGCAAAGCAGACTTACCAATCCAATCCCGCAGAAAACTATATGCCAAATCCCCTTTTGGCTCTGTTAGGAAACAAGCAAAAGAAAACTTTTCTAGGTTTGACTTTTGGATGTTATCATTTAAAAGTGTATGCAACTCTGATATGACTACACTGTTAACACTACATTTCAGGACACATATTAAATAAAATACTGCTCACAAACCTGATGATGCCAGAATGGTTTTCGCATAATCTGGATGGTGAATGTTGAGATAACAAGCAACGGGACCAAACCATACGGGGAAAGCATAAGGATACTGCTCTCCCCATTTAACTATCGTGTCCAAGTCTGTCCCGTCTTGTTTAAACTAAAAGAGAAATACCAACAGTGAAACACTTGTGATAAGATAAGATAAATCTTTATTGTCATTGTACAGTCACACTTTTGTACAATGACATTTGCATCTCATCCACAATGGTGCCAAAAAAAAAAAAAAAGGACACGCCACTGTCAAAGATGAGCATAAACAGTTCACTTAACGCATCCATCTATCCATTATCTATACACCGCTTAATCCTCACTAGGGTCGCAGGGGGCTGGAGCCTATCCCAGCCAGGGGACACCCTGGACAGGTCACCAGTCTATCACAGGGCTACACTTAGAGACAGACAACCAAGCACACTCACATTCACACCTACGGACAATTTAGAATCACCAATTAACCTCAACATGGTTTTGGACCTTGTGGGAGGAAGCCAGAGAACCCGGAGAGAACCCACACTGCACGGGGAGAACATGCAAACTCCACGCAGAAAGATCCCGGGTGTCCTCACTGGGATGCGAACCGGTGACCCTCTTGCTGTGAGGCAACAATGCTAACCACCGAGCCACCTTGCAGCCCCACTTAACGTGTCAGATATGTCAAATAAGCAATTCGCCATAATAAACATTATGTACAGTTCTGAATATTATCAGAAAAGAATAAAGATTATGTTCATCATATATAAGCAATATATACATAAAAACGATCAAATTAAATAATGTGCAGAGTAAAGTGTCTCAAAATGAGCTGTAAGGTGCAGAGAGCATGTATTGTAACATACAGAACACCAGATGCATGTCTTTTTTTTTTTTGCAGTGACAAAATCATTTAGAACTTGAGTTAAAGTAGCTGCATCCCAAGTTTACTCAAATTTTTTATTAAGACTTTTGTCTTTTGTTATCATGAGTAAAAATGTGTTTGGTGTCAAAGGGAAAGTACAAAACTGCTACACAGAATGACTCCTTACAAAGATTACTCATTCAAATCATCAGCTCATCATCAAGCTCTGCAGAGAAGCCTGAAAACGATCCTGATCATTTGAATCAGGGGTGTTGGAAGAGAGAAACATCTAAAACATGCAGGATTGTGGCCCTCGAGGGCCAGGATTGCCCACCCCTGCAGTCTACACCCACATGATTTAAGACATCACTACCACATACCAAATCATCTGAACTAGACTTAAACACGTTATAACCTGTTGCACTTCAGTTTATTCTCTTGAAACGATGCTGCTGCTGCTGCTGCTGCAAGCCTCAAATCATCACCTGGAGCACGTGTCCAAACAGCCAGTTTGGCGGTGGTCCTGGAAAAGCTTCAACGTGTCGCATCACATCCTTTCTCCGCAGGTATAGAACCGTTGATTTATAGACAACGGCGACAAGGCAGAGCACAGCAAAGATGTGAGGCCAGTTCAGCTGTAAGTTCCCCAGAGCTTCGGCAAACGCCATACCGACGATCTCCGAGCTTCAGCTGGCGGTGGGAAAGAAATGCAAAAAAAAAAAAAAAAGCTTTTTGTGCACCTCAGGGGTCGACCTAGTTGTGGTAAACACTGGAGCGCAGAGCAAATCAATTGGATATGCGTGGAGGGCGTGTCCCCGCGCGGTGGGTTTACGTGCTGACGGAATTCTGGGAGTCTCGAGCGCACGAATAATAACTTTGATGAGAAAAGTTTTGATGGCATTCATTAGATAGAGCAGATATCGTCTCTATATCTATATATATTTTGATATTATAAGGAAGTATTTAATTATTCAATTTTAAAAAACTTTATGGGTAACCTGGGTCAATTTAACACTGAGGTCCACTCAATTGGTTTCTGTTTGTTTTTGTTATTTACTTTAAACGACGTCACTGAACATTACACGAGATGTGATGTAATGTTTTAGAGCACAGGGACTTTAACACAAGAGATTTTACATGTTGTCCTGCAGGTTTTAGACGTTTCAGGTGTGTTGCAGTACGACAAAGGTCTAAAACCTGCAGGACAGTAGCTCAGGAGGACCGGAACTGGAGATCCCTGGTGTGTGTATATATGTACAGTCGTCCTCAAATGTATTCATACCCTTCCGTTAAAGAAAAGGTAAAATTCACAATAGTCACTCAAATAACTAGAAACTGGAAAAAGTAAAAATAAATAAAAATTTGCTAAATTAGAATTTGGTGAAATACAGACATTGCGTTTGAATTGCGGTGGAAAAGAATAATTAAAAAAAAAACAAAAAACAACAACAACTGTCCAGGACAAATTAGAGCACTTTGCTGATGAGCAGTGGGCCAGAATCAAAATACCTGTCAACAGGTGCAGAAGTCTGATTGAGAGTTACAGAAAACACTTGATGGCAGTGTTTGGCTCAAAAGGTTGTCCAACAAAAGATTAGTTTATGGGTCCCATCATGCTTGTTTGCTTGTTTTTTTTAATTTGTTTTAAATATTTCTGTTGAACCACAATTCAAAAGCAAGGTCATGATTTTCATTACATTTTTATTTATTATTACTTTTGTCAGTTCCAACTTATTTCAGTGACAGCTGTTTCCCCCCCGCCTTCTTTAATGGGAGGGTATGAATACACTTGAGGATGACTCAATATGTCACATATATTTTATCTTTTCATGGGGCAGCGCTGTACAGCTTATATGACAGTGTAAATTTACTGTCCCCTCAAAATAACTCAATACACAGCCATTAATGTCTGAACCGCTGGCAACAAAAGTGAGTACACCCCTAAGTGAAAATGTCCAAATAGGGCCCAAAGTGTCAATATCATGTGTGGCCACCATTGTTTTCCAGCTCTGTCTTTAACCCTCTTGGGCAGGGAGTTCCCCAGAGCTCCACAGGTTGCCACTGGAATCCTTCCCCTCCTCCATGACAACATCACAGGGCTGTTTGGATGTTAGAGACCTTCTGTTTGCGGACGCCCCACAGATGCTCAATAGGGTTCTTTATAACTGACGGTTTTGTGCTATTGCAAATAATCTAAACATCTAAAGCATCTAAAATGTTTGCACTGTGCTATAGGAGGCTTTTTATTAGTGTATTATTATCTTAAATTGCCAGCAGGGGACAAAATGAAGTTTTCTGATTTGGAATGAATTGAATATAGTGTTAAGGTTGTGCTTCAAAGAGCATGTAAATGGATGAAACAGCAGATTTAAAATGGTTAAGACCTCAGTGTTTGTACGCTTGTCGTGCTTCTGTGACTCATACTGAACTCACGTCTTTCTCATCTTGCAGGCTTTTCCGTTGTCGCACTTTTGAGACATTGTGATTGTCATCTGTTTTTGCTTCCCTTTACCTGATAAACGCTTTGAACTTTCACAATGCTCAAATGAACCGTTGCTGCAGATCATGTCTACCAAAGTCTGCTTAGGTTTGAGCTTGGTAGATGAATGAACCGTGCAAATAGCTTCATCACAGTTTTCTCACGGAATTTACGAATCATCTAATCGATGTATAAAACAGCATAAACTGTGTACAAAGCCGACATCTCTGTATAGAGAAAATAATCGTGTCACTCCTGCATATGCTGCAACACCTATACTAATGCAAACAGTGAAATAAACACGACATCATCAGAAAAACAGTGTGGGTTTAAGCAATGCGAAATTTCCTCTGCACTCGTTGTTGGACCACTTCCTATGTGTCAACTAGAATTTAGTCTTATGATGCGATGCAGATGCTATGAAGTGTATTTAGATGAACAGCCACCGTGTAACCACAGAGGGGGTGTTTGTTTTCTGCTCAGTATTGGTTTTCTTTCCGAAGACACAGGAACTCTTTAACCACGATGCAAAAAGGCTTTATTCTTATTTTTATACAGATTGTTTGGATATCATCCACCTTGTCAAGAAGTGACGGTAAGTAACTGACTTAACCATTAACATCAGAATGTATTTGAAAGTTTTGTAAATTTGTTCATGGTTTACATTTTTCAAGCGACTATTATTAATGCACAACAACTGATGTTTTAACAGCGGCACATTACCTTCATTTCCTGCTGGGATGTAAAGCTGTGATACCTTGTCAGTATTACAGCCAACAGTCAGAGGCTTTCAGCTGGTTTTACAAGAAGGATGAAACTAGTACGGAAACCCAGATATTTCATCAAAATAAGAACGGAGTACAACACCATCAAGACTCTACCAAAAGAAGTGTTACCAGCAATCTTTCCTTGGTCATCAGTCATGTCACTGAGAGCGATGAAGGCATGTACTCGTGTCAAAACTGTGATAAAGGCAACTGCCAGAGGGGACAGACCACAGTCATCAGAGTCAACAAAGGTTTTAATGGCTACGATTGTCATCTCATTTCATTTCTAAGACATATCAACATTCTGTAGTCATTCTGTTCCATTTTTAAACTGTTTGTTAAAGCCCATCCTTAAAGCCTTTTACTTTTTTTTTCCCTCCAGAAATTCGGCATGCAACTCAAAGGACAGTTTACATTCCTGCAGGCAACACTTTTAAGCATCCACGTCCGAGTGAATTTAACACAATGGACATAAAATGGACTTTTGACCCGAGTAATAAGACTGCTTCCGGCAAATCAGCACCAAGACCAGGAACACTGACTTCCAACGTATATATTGTAAATGTCAGCGTTGCAGATGCTGGGAAATATACCTGCTGGGGCTGCGGTAAACAAAAGCTGCTTGTTATCAATTTGTGTGTAATTACAGGTAAGAAATCAGGAGCTAAAACAATATGTTTCACCAAAAGAACGAGATACTTACGACCTTTTTTTTTTTTGTTGCATTACAGTTCACCACAATAAGGATCTATCACCTAGTTCTTGTGCTGTGATGTGTGACGTGGATATCAATGATCGAAACAGAACTTCACATGTGGAAATAGGCCCGATGACTGTATCAGTGGATGTAGATGCAAACGGATCCTTAATCTGCAGAGCAGAGCAGAAGTTCGACGGATACACCACAGCTACCAGCCCTAACGTGCCATCTACAGCATTTAACACAACACCAGGTGGAGGTTTTGCCATATATTGCTCTAAAGGGAATTTGTGAGTTGACAACTATTAATACTTTTTTTTGTTTTTGGCTTCACAGGTGGACATAAAGAGCCGGAATACCAGACATCAGTTGTTTATGGAGTATCAGTGGCCCTTTCATGTCTCAGTTTAATGGCACTTTTAATTTTTTACCTCAGATTAAGATTGTGGGAAGGTAAGCTTTGCAGCTCTTTGTCTTGTTAAAAAAATGCTTATTTTGGTTGTTAGTTGCTGCTTCCTTGTGGTTTTTTGTTTGTCCTTTTTGACTCTGATTCTGTTTCTCTTCCTCCAAAGCATGTTCCGTTCACCGTTGTAGCTGTGGCTTGGCCGGCAGGGTAAGTGTTAGATGATTTCAATGATGTAATTTTAAGCAACCTACCATGCTGTTGTTCAGGTAATGAGAATTCTCACTTCTTACTGCAGGCAGAAGAGGAGACTCCAGTGGTTTACTCATCAATCATCATCAGGAAGACTGCTAAAGCACACACTCGTGTAACTTACAATGATTGTATCTATAGTGAAATAAAGGTATAGAGAAAATATCCCAGGTTAAAATGATCAGTGAATGTTGGAATCATTTAGTAATTTATTCCTCAAACATTATGTGTAGGACAAAGTGAGTATGTCTTCGCCCACATTGTCCCGAAGGGAAATTCTAAAACACTGACTCTTTTTTTCCAGTGATCAAACAGATTAATAATATCTGATTGAATTCCCCCTCACAACAAAAGTGTTGTTGTTTTTTTCCCCTCTCTGAAACAGGGAAGGCTTCAGACTATACTGGTCTATGTGAATTAAAACTTTGGGTTTGATGCCACTGTAATGTTACAGTGCTTTAGGTAAAGATATTGTTCTTAGATACTGTCGGCGAATACATTCATGTACATATTTTTTTGTGACTATTTATCCCTTTCTTCTACTCTATTTATCTGTCAGATTGTTACTTTGCAGATTAAACATTATTAATTTACTCAACTGTATGCAGAGAAGTTAATCCTCAAAAAACAACACCATTAGAAGGCTGCTTACATTGGGAACATTCACTCTTTTAATGAACTTTTATTAAATTTCACTACATTTTTTTTAAAAAACACAGTCACTTTAATTTTCTACACTTTATTTTACAGCTATATCGGTTTGCAGATTCAGGGTATACCAACAAAAGGCATGATCAGGTGATAAAATATAGCTGTAGTAATGGATTCACTATGCAAGAATGGATCAGGCTAAATGAAGCAGACACCTCCATGACCAGCTAAAGCAACCATGACTGCAACATCACCACTAATGAAATAATATTATACTGTACACAACAGATTTTAGTATGATTTAGCTGATAAGTGCGTGGGAACGACATAATTATCACACGGTGTTTCATCGCAAGAGATCGCAGGATGTCGGTGTAGTTCATGCCAAGGTTAAAATAAAATAAAATCAAATCAAAATGCTCCATGTTTCATGCAAGTCCGCCCGTTATCCTTAATCGACAGCTGGTATGACCGCACTGTGAAACTTGCTCCATAACATCTCTTGTTTCTTCATATTAGTAATGCGAGGCCACAATTTAACTATGTCGCTCCCACGCATTAACAGCTCGTGGCCACGATTTACTAATGCGTGGAAACGAGATAAGAGCTACTTTCTTGTTTTAAGGAACGATTTTTCGCACTTAGTATTGATGCTTAGGTTTGTGCAGTTTTTCTTGTATTTCATTTATTTTTTATTTTTTTTATTTTTTTTTTTACTGATAATCCAATAATACATGCGCTAACTACTTGAGGAAAAGTTTATGATTTCTACTTTGTGCAACAAGTACACGATCAATACAGGAAGCTACCGCTGGTCCAGCAGGTGGCGCTACTGAGCCTCAAAGTTGGTTGCAAACTGCTGCAATACAAACCTGCTTCTCATTCACTGTTAGCCGCTGTGACCATTCATGCTTTGAAAAGCAACCAAGCCGTTGGACTAGTTTTGTTCTCATCAGCTTTGTATTTATGCTCATCGATATTTGTCATCCTATTCGTGTTACAGTGTTAGAATGCTTAGCACGTTAGCTTGAGTAACTGTGCAGCAGAGCGATGATGGACAACTTAGCTAACTAGCTGCAAGCTAACTAGCTGCTAGCCGACTGAGCAAACCGGTGAGGCCTGTTTGGATGTTCGGTCAATAGTGTGGCGGCTCTAACGAAGACTAAAACACCAGTATTTACCCTGTGCTCCTCGGAAGGTGGATAGCTGTGTTCTGCTGTTTGCGGTTTCTCAGGTAATCACGCTACAACTATTGTTACGAGTGAGCTAAACTACACGAATTAGCTAGCTTAGCCCGCTACGTTTAGCTTTCACCGTCTGCTAGCAAACATGGTAAAAGTTAGAAACTCTGTCAAATATTTCCGGTAACTATTAATGATTTGGCAAGAAATTGTTTTGTTTGTTAATGCAGGAAAAGCACCGGTGAGTAGAATATTGTTAGTAAGGGTTTAGCTCCATCAGGCGACCGAGTTAGTCATGACTGTTAGAAAGCATGTAGCTGAGTCCTTGAACTAGAACACGTAAATACAGTCCAGTCATTATTAATGTCTGTAAAAAAAACAACAACTGTGCTCTGTAGTTTTCTGACAGTATTTTCCCTTTTTAGGCTTGAAAACAGCAAAGTACCTGTGAAAAGATGGAGGCTCCTCCTGTCACTGTGATGCCAGTCACCGGGGGCACAATCAATATGATGGAGTATCTGTTACAAGGTGAGTGAAGTCACACAGACATGTCAACAAGACTGAATTTATATATTAATATGATGTGCAGTGCGTTTTGTGGAGCACTACCAACTATGGTACGAGTGTACATGGTAACTCTGGTTTTAATAACTTGTAAAGTGTATATTTTTGACAGTGTGCTAAGTACAAGTGCTTACTATAATGGCAACATACAGTCGTCCTCTAATGTATTCATACTCTACTATTAAAGAAAAGGCAAAATTCACAATCATCACTCAAAAAACTAGAAACTGAAAAAAGTAGTAATAAATAAAAATTTGCTAAATTACAATTTAGTGAAATAAGACATTGTTTTTGAATTGTGGTTAAAAAGAAAAAAATTAAAAAACAAAAAAACTGTCCCGGACAAATTAAAGCACTTTGCTGATGAGCAGTGAGCCAAAATCAAAAGTCTGATTGAAAGATACAGAAAACACTTGATTGCAGTGATTGCCTCAAAAAGTTTGACAAAATATTAGTTTACGGGTCCCATCATGCTTGTTTTTTTTATTATCATTATTATAATTTTAAATATTTATGTTGAACCACAATTCAGAAGCAATGTCATGATTTCATTAGTTTTTTTATTTATTATGACTTTTGTCAGTTTCAACTTATTTCAGTGACAGCTGTTCTTTTCCTTCTTTAATGAGAGGGTATGAATACATTTGAGGACGACTGTATGGTGGTACGACAGTTAGACCCTTAACTTGGGTTAACACCACTTTTTATTTCACATTGCAGCAAAATATGAAGGTCGGTTTTATGACAGCACTGTTTCATTGAAACATGCACGGAGAGTAATATTTTAACAAGGCCTTGGTGATGAGATGTTCAACTTTTCTATTTTTTTACTAAAGGAATCTCAGCTGTTGTTTGTTGCGGTGTTTCTTTTGGAAATAGGTGTTGAAACTACACTTACAATTCCAACAGGCATGCAGTCCTTGTAATCGCTCCATAATGTCTATACCATTAATATATTTATGCATCTGTTTTTGTCCACTTTATAAACTCAGGGAGTGTGTTAGATCAAGCCCTGGACAGCCTCTTGCATCGCCTTCGAGGTCTGTGTGACAGCATGGAGCCTGAGACCTTCACAGATCATGAACTGGTTTACCTTCTGAAAGGCCAGCAAGGCAATCCTTTCATTCTGCGTGCTCGGCGCTCCCTCTCCCATCCCAGCGCTCCGTGGCATCTACGCTATCTCGGCCAACCTGAAGTGGGAGACAAGAGCCGCCACGCCATGGTGCGCAACTGTGTGGACGTGGGCGCCTCGCACAGCCTCCCAGAGTTCCTCAACGAGATGGGTTTCCGCATGGACCATGAGTTTGTGTCCACCGGACACATATTTCGTAAAGGTGCCATGAAAATTGTGGTCAGTAAGCTGTCGCGCATCCTGGTGCCGGGGAACACAGAGAACACAGAGCGTCTGTCGCTGTCGTACCTGGTGGAGCTGAGCGTGTTGGCCCCTGCCGGCCAGGATACCATGTCGGAAGACATGCGCAGCTTTGCCGAACAACTCAAACCTCTTATTCACCTGGAGAAGATTGACCCAAGCAAACAGAGACACTAGAGGGTCAGGCCCTCTCTGACTGTCACGGACAAAATTCAATCTCTTGTTTTTTTTTTTTTGTAAAGCAATGCTTACAAGTTATGTTAAATGAAATACAGTGCAACTTAATGTTTACCTCCTCTGGTCAGTTTGTTATGAGCTGAAAGGTGTTTCAACTATCAGTGGTAAATATCACTGCTTTTCACCAGTTTTCACCAATTCCTGGTCACAGAAGTTTTATTATGTAGTGTCACCACTTAGTATCATACCTCAAACAGGTGTTAAGTATTAAAATAATAACTCTTTAATATAATACAAAAGCAGTCTGGCTACATGATCACTTTCAAATAATGTGATACGACAACTTTAACCTTTTTTTGTGTGACAACATTGTCATCGGTTACGAAAGTGTAATGCTGCACAAGATTATTTTCAACTAAAATAACATCTTTTTATACATTTTTTCTCGTCAGTTTAATAGAACCCTTGTCTTATCTTTTCAAAGTTTCTAAGTTCTTTTCCATCACTGAGCTAAATGGGTCTTTTTCCTCTGACATGTTGGTTTCGTTCCACTAGGGGTCTCTCTTTCTCTTCTTGTGACTTTCTTGACTGGCGCAAACTGGATGCTACCTCACATCATCTACAGGAGCTGTGGTTGCCATGGAAATAATTAGCTGTGAGATCTGCACATCCTTTCCCCCACTCTAATTAGCTTTCTCAATTGCTTAATGATACATAGACCTGTGAAAGCCTTTCTTTCTTCCCCTCAACAAAAGCATTGATTTTCCCTCTCTTCCCCTCTCATTTCTACTGTTAACCCATTAGTGCCTCTTTCATGGGAACTTGAGCTGGGACTATTACACATGAAAGCACTACAGCTGCCTCAGGTTCTTTACTGTTGATGTTAGAATCCGAACAGGCTTCTATACTAGTGTCAACCTTATAGCCAACCTGGTGCAGAGACCGAAGTAACTAATGCACATCCTGTCAGTTATGATAATAATGTTGGCAATAAGACATGAGTGCTTCTAATAATACTCGTACAGGAAGATGCATTTGCAGTGGTTGAGATGTTAAGTGACCATGTACATATCTAAAGGGAGACACGAGGGCTCATGGCTGTCTCTACGTGTTGACCTACCTGCACGTCAAGACGGATGAGGACAAGCTTGCTGAGGTGGAAAGGTGAGATGACATTGCTTCCACATGCATTTGGGGGACCTTGAACACCATCTTTGCAAAAGGTTATGTTGCCATAGGATGTCTGGAGACGATCTGATCTGTGCTCAAATTGAACCTTGTTCTGTAGTTGGTTACTCAGTACCCAAAGTTGCCTGTCAGTGAGACTGGATTATCTGATGGAGACAGTTTTATGTTCCAACAACCAGAAGCAGACTACCGGCCCTCAGGACTAAAGCATGATGTTTCAGCTCTGAGTGAATTATGTATTAAAGAGGCAGATGCCTCCTTGCCCAAGGCTTTATATGTCCAGCATGGATAAACTACAGTCTACTGGCTTTCTTCCACTTAAACTTGTGCTAAGCACAGTGCTCTTTGGTGATGAGCTGGACTCCCACTGCACCTCCACTCCGCATTGCCTGGAGAACAGAGGGATAGCTAGGCTAATCAGTGTCTTGGCATCAGGCCTACTTGGCTATTGTGGATGTAGCCAACCACGGACTTGCACAAGTGTGGGATTTAACTTGTTTCTGGAGGCAATATTACATGCTACATGGTTTATTTGAAGAAATTGAAACCGGAATGACACCCTCTTCAAAGCAGAATATGTTAAGGGTTGCAATACACCAGTGATTATCAAACTGATTCGTTTTCTTTGTGGTGTTGCTGATAAATTATGAAAAATCAGTTGAGTGTCAGGACATACATGCATCGCTATTTTCATGATGCTTGCAGCCTGAGCTACTGAAGTAATTGATTCATTTTTCAGTTTCATGACACAGAAAGGGTTTCTTTGCATGACTTGTACCTACTTTAAGCTCTACATTTCTGTATTTATTTTTAGCAACAAATCAGACAGTTCATTTAAATTATCATCTAGCCGACAAAATGTCAAATATAACTGAAAGAATCACAAGAGCACAACATGTTGATGTGATGTATTGTTACCATACTGCTTGTTTCATTGTGTTTGACCAACAGATCAAACCTGAAAAGTATTCAGTTTGAAAAGAAAGAGAAAAGCTGCAAACAATTCACTTGTTAAATAATAATTGGCCCAAATAGATGACTGATTATACTGGAGACACCTGTTGATAAAAGTAAAACACAGCACACTTTAATTGTGCTGCTTGTTCTGCTGTTCTCTGTCTCATACCTTGATTTGGAATGAACAATTTTCTGTACAGCGGCGCAGCCTTTAACCGTCTTTGACATCAGTTTATTACATTACAATTAGGCTTGCTACAGTTCCGGGTATGAGTACAGCACGCTGATTTTCCTCTCTGGGCCATTTGGTTGTTCTGCATTTTTAGCTGGTAAATATAATTAATTGGCTGAGGCAGATAGTGTTAGTTAATCATATTTTGTTAGACTGCTGAAATGGTGATGGAAGCCATTACCTGCACATTCCTTTACTTTCCATTTCACAACACTGACTTAATTAAAACTCTTGGCACCAATTGTCTTCGCTGCCTCTGAACATAATGTTCATAGTTTGGCAGTGCAGATGCCAAGATGCCACAGAAAGCTGGCACTCGCTTGGGGCAGGAAGTCTTTAAGTCGGCCTACTTTGGGCCAATGCCACAAAAGGGTGAAATCCAGCTTCGCCTACTCAGAAATGTTCCCAATACTTGGATTTGTGCCCTCTCCTTCCTGTGTCATTGGGAACCCATATGCTTGTTAGAGAGAGTTGTTTTCTAAGAGAGGAGGAGAACCAGGGGAGGTGCTTTCCCAGACAGACATCCATCTCCCAAGGGTGTTCTTGTGGCTTCTCTAGATTCCTCTAGCCCTAACCCCACTGGGCAGAAGGGGGTACAGGGATAAATTGCACAATATCATGAGGTTACGAAGGACGGCTTAAGTGGCAGGTCCGAAGAAATAAGGATGGGTCTCGGAGAAAGTAAAAAAAATAAAAAAAAGGGCGGAAAAAAATATGTCCCTTTCCTTATCTGAATGAAATTCCAGAGCACTTTTTCAGGGTGTAAATTGACAGGCACAAAGCTCTGACTTGTTGTTCATGTGGTGCTCTGCCTTGCTTGTGGCTGGCTGAGGTGATTACTGCTGTGCAGAACATGCTGTTCCAGGATCAGCCACTCAGAGCTTTAAGCCAGCCATGCTGCCTCTGGAATGTCTGGTATGGGGACAACGTAGCAGTCAGCCTGGAAGGGACCAAACATGCGTAGTTTTTTTAAACTCGCGCTGTTTACGCCTTTCTCCTCTCTGTCCACACGAGCCCCCTCCTCTTCCCACGAGTTTTGCTTCTCTTCGGCTGAGCTTCCCTTGCCTTTGTGCCGTTCACAATTACTTTTCATTCAACTTCACGTGTAATCAAGACACATTGTGTAATCTCAAGTGTCACGAAAATTATGGCATTCATAAGTGTTACTTGTGAAACATCTCAAGTAGAACCTTGTGTGAGAGACTAGAGGCTGTAAAAGGCTGGTGGTGGCTTGATTGTTGTGCCTCGGTACAAAATAGTGAAAAATATAAGAAATAATTTCACATTAATTCTACTTACACTTGCAATAGAGTTTGTGTTGTTGTTGTTGTTGTTTCCCCCCCTCACAAAACAAGCTATTAGCAACATGACATTTTAACCATGTGATCCCACTGAGGCTCAACATTAAGTCATTTCGTGACACACTATATGACACATCCTCCCGCATTTAAAAGCCTACTATTTTTTGCCACAAATTTCTCAACATCCCTCATGTCTGGGTGCACAGCGTGGCCGAGTTGTGCAACTTTTAAACACAGCTTCCGTCCACTTAAATGCATGAAAGAGGGTGGGGTCCTCAGCCACCTTGTTTACAGTGGGGTTTAGACTGGGCTTGTGGATGCGTCACCAAAAAAAAAATAAAAAATTGAGGATGTTTTACTTGAACTAAAATTGTACTGGCTGGAATATAGACGTTTCTGAATTTGGGGTCCTAGACTGGTGCAGAGGATGTTCATTATTCAGCTGTTGAATATTTTGATAGCAATGCATTCACAGCAATATGCCCTCATAGGTCATGCTGATTACCCAAGGGCTGTTAAAAATCTTTGCTTGGAATTTGGTGCCTATTCCAAATATTATCAGAAATTGTAGCTGCATGTGAGTGTGTGTGAATGTGTAAAAGTTGGATTGACTGTTGAAGTCCATGAATAAGTAATATTCTCCCCACAGCAACCCATCAACATAACTGGTGTGAATGTACATGGAGATATGAAGCAGACTGCTGCTGCTGTAACTCAGCAAATCTTTTTTTGGATTGGGGGGAAAAAAAAGGTGAGGACATATGGGGCCAGATTTCTTTTTTTGTAAGAGTTTATTAGGGAAATCAACAGCCAATGGGATCCGTGCACCTGTGACTGTGTGCCCGCCCAGCCGTCAGATTTTAAAAGAGGATGGAATGGGTCGGAATCCCCTCCTCCCTCCCCCTCCACCCCTCCGGCCAGTGCAGCAGCAGAGTTACGCACAAGGGTCTGACCAGGGCTTCAGTCTGCCAGAGCAGAGTGGCTTTGGCTTTGGATCAAATGCGATTTGAGATGATAATATGCAAGTCTCCCATTTCTCCTCACTTGGTTGGAGACAGGAGCAGAAATGATTTGTCATCCTGGCCCCCCGAAGAGCCTCATTTCACCCCCACTCCTCCCGGATTAAAATCTCAGGTTACCTAATATCTCTTAATCTGAACTTAATCTGTCTAATCGGCATAGAAAATTACACTCACTGAGGTATTGCCCGCAAAGAATCACCAGAGGTGAAACCGCCTAGCGCGCCCTAAGTTCTCCCTGGAGGGCATTTGGACGCTGCGCACGGTGCACGGGACAATTTGTTACGCACCAAGACTGTAGCCTTTTTTTTTTTTTTTTTTGGAAGACAAAAGCCCGTGTCGAGATTGTGCAGGAATTCCTCCTCTTGTGGGGGTTTCACATTGTCTTAGGGTTGGACACAGGGGCTGGCAAACAAAAGCGCCATGTGACGCTCTGGCGGAAAGATCGTTATGCAGAGTTTTGATTAAGAATTTGGGTTTCGCTCCCTTCGCTCATAACTGATATGGTGGAGGGAGAGAGAGGAGAGAGAGAGAGAGAGAGAGAGAGAGAGAGAGAGAGAGAGAAAGGGGGGAGAGCGAGCGAGCGAGCGAGAAAGAGCGAGAGAGAGAGAGTGAGTTCGGGATTTCGCTGTAATCATGTTCGGAGAGTATTGATTTCGTGAGCGCACTCCAATTGGCAGCATCTCTACTATACCGCGCCGGCGCGTCACCCTCGGTTCACATCGACGGAACGAGT